TTCCATCAGTATCTATAATTATTCCAGTGATTCTCTAAACTGCGCAGTTAAAATATTATTTTTTAAACAACTATAAGGCCACACAAAACAAATTAGGCCAAGCTAGATAAACATAATAATTATAATATCATAACAACATCAAATATAGATATTCAATAACTTTCATCCCCTTTGTTTTACAACAAATTACATGATCTGTGCATTTATGTTGGTATAATTAATTTCAATTTTAAATACTTTTTTGTTTATGCCTTAATGTGGTTCAACACAGTTAGATAACATATCACCGGAAAAGCTGTTCACCTTACTAAGATTTGATAAAAGGGAATGAAAACTGCCCACTGAAAACATAAAACGGTAATACATATGATTTATTTGTCTATATTTTATTTATTTTTATCAAGCAAAGGATCATTGTATAATTGATCATCCCAGAAATCATTTCAGGGCATTTGTAAAATAATTCTTAAAATTTGCAGTCATTATGTAAAATCACTGGTCATTTTCAGGGATTATATATAATCACTAATGGTTTAAGTGATTTTGCAAAATCCCTGAAAAGTCGGGGATTCTACATAACCCCTCATTATACAAATTCAATGTAACATATATTAGTTTATCATGAAAACTGTCATAGTGATAGATAATAAACAATAATCCAAAAATATAACGTGAATCAAAATTAAAGTTTCATCTCCAAGCATGGACTCTAGACCAAAGTGAAATAATTTTGACAGTATATTATAAACTTAAGTTCCCTAGTAAACAAATAAATGATGCATAAGTAAATAATGGTCAGAAGTTGCTATATTCTTAAAGTTTGAACTCCCTTGGGGCTTCAACTTCGTATTTTATTTGGCCTTTTTAACGTTTTTGATTCGAGCGTCCCTTGTGACTCTTGTAGACGAAATGTGCGTCTGGTGTACAAACTTTTAAGTCTGATATCTATGATGAGTTTATTGTCATTCGACAACAAATAGCAGCCAGTGTAAAGTCAAAGACCACAGAAATTTTACTCTAAACATCATTTATGACAGATCTGACAAACGCGCACTTGGAGTTGCTTTGTATAGTCTTAGTCAGTTTTACAAACAATCTTTATCAATAATTTGAAATTTATAGCACAAAACTCTGGCTGGATAGCAAAACAATTTAAATATATCAAATCACACGAACCAAACTCGCCGATATTCTAACACGACTAACAAAATCACAGAACGACAATTCAAACATCTGGAATAATCACTAGATTTTGGAATTGGGATTTGCAAAGTGTTAAATATATCAAAAATGATCCCCACCCTATACACAATATTCCGCAATCAAGGCTTCAATACAAATAAAACTAATCTCTTGGCATCAAGAATGTTCTCTTCCTGTCTTTATAGTACTTCATCGACACAAAAAGAAACTTTATGAAGTTGATATCTTTTTTCAGGAAAATTCGGTTTAAAGAGTAAACCACAGTTACAACTAAAGATGTATATGCTTCATACCTCTACAGCTTTAAGCAAGCAATTGATAGTGAGACCAGGTTAGTTTAGTTTCTCTTCTACAGCTCAGGCCAATAAATTAATAGTGAGATCAGCTTGATACCGTTTCTCTACTAAAGCCTAAACCAAAAATTTGATAGTGAGGCAAAGTTATTAACGTTTCTTTACTTAAGCCTTTGATGACAGATCACAACCCTTTTCTTGACTGAACAAGAACCGAAGTTAAGCGATGTTCAGATATCTTTAATCGATAAAGAAGATACCTTATAAACTTTAGAAGATATCTTATAAAGTATATAAGATATCCTATAAAGTTTAAACGATATCTTATAAAGTATATAAGATATTTTATAAAGTATATAAGATATCTTATATATTATATAAAATATATCTTATTAATTATATAAGATATAAGATATATTTTATAAGATATCTTATATAGTTTATAAGCTATCTTAAATAGTTTACAAGATAGCTTATATAGTTTATAAGATATCTTATATAGTTTATAAGATATCTCATATAATTTTCTTTGTAAGATATCTTATAAAGTTTGTAAGATATCTTATAAAGTATGTAAGGTATCTTATAAAGTTTATATGAGATATCATATATATCATATGAGATATATTATATTTTATATCTTATATTTTTTATATGAGATATCTTGAAGTTAGAATAAATAGTAAAACGTCTTGCCATATGTTTAAATAGTTTATAATGTGTAGGCTTAGCTATTTTATTGTAATTTCATAACGTATAATGTTCCTCACTTATTAAGCTAATAAGCGGGAAATAAGTCGCTAGAGTTGATTCATTGGTTACAAAATATGTGAACTTAAATAAAAAATTCACGCTGGCTGTGCTAGCCCAACTAGACTAATGATCGCTGTAATATAAGCATAAGGTATATGGGTTTCTAAATAATAGATTCTAGTATATTGTCATTACTTCGAGTTGAAGCTAGATTTCATGAAATATGGCAAAACTATTTAAATGCAAAGAACACACTCTTTACAATAAGGAATAAGTATCGCTCCATTGTAAAATATGATGTAAACATGAGAAGAATATAAAAAATTCAGATATACCAGGCTTATAATTTAATACATCAGACACAAGTTCCGTCTATATAAGACTCATTAGTTGAACTAGAGTAAAGTTGGAAGGCCAAATCAAATACGTAGTTGAAGAGTGTCAACAACCGAAAATTAAGGAAACTTGTGGCAAATACGACCAAGGCAATCTATGTCTGTGGTAGAAACCTTGATGTTTCGAATAATTCAATATTATAATAGTTATTGATACACTGCTGATTCATAGGGATGTTTAGTGTGTAATTTCGACGATAAAATGCGATAAACTGCTGATTCATAGGGATGTTTAGTGTGTAATTTCGACGATAAAATGCGATAAACTGCTGATTCAAAGGGATGTTTAGTGTGTAATTTCGACGATAAAATGCGATAAACTGCTGATTCATAGGGATGTTTAGTGTGTAATTTCGACGATAAAATGCGATAAACTGCTGATTCATAGGGATGTTTAGTGTTTAATTTCGACGATAAAATGCGATCAACTGCTGATTCATAGGGATGTTTAGTGTGTAATTTCGACGATAAAATGCGATAAACTGCTGATTCATAGGGATGTTTAGTGTTTAATTTCGACGATAAAATGCGATCAACTGCTGATTCATAGGGATGTTTAGTGTGTAATTTCGACGATAAAATGCGATAAACTGCTGATTCAAAGGAATGTTAAATGTGTAATTTCGACGATAAAATGCGATAAACTGCTGATTCAAATGAATGTTAAGTGTGTAATTTCGACGATAAACTGCTGATTCGAACTCTGAGGATTCGAAGGAATGTTTGGGTGTGTAATTTCGACAATAAAATGCGACAAACTGCTGATTCGAAGGAATGTTTAGGTGTGTAATTTCGACAATAAAATGCGACAAACTGCTGATTCAAAGGATTGTTTAGTGTGTAATTTCGACAATAAAATGCGATAAACTGCTGATACAAAGGAATGTTTAGTGTGTAATTTCGACAATAAAATGCGATAAACTGCTGATTCAAAGGAATGTTTAGTGTGTAATTTCGACAATAAAATGCGATAAACTGCTGATTCAAAGGAATGTTTAGTATGTAATTTCGATGATAAAATGCAAATATTGAAATTTAAATGGCAACACTAGCTTTAACATGTAAACTATGCAATAATTTCCAAGCGAATATACCATGATTGAGGTGGCAGGGCAAAAATAATTATGCCTACCAAGTATCATTGACTAACCTTAAGTGATCCCCTTTAAACTGACTGTATCACACACTTAAACATGTAAATACAATAAAGCATTCCAATGTCTCCGAAAAAAGCACATATTTGATGTTGAAGGGCAACAACTCTGGAAAGACAAGTGTTTTGTACTTTTCAACTTTTTCATTAATATTCTACAAGAAATGCAGGCATGAGATCACTAACAACGTGACACATGTATGTTCCATACAACTTCAATTTTATAAGACCATGCTGACATAAAACATTGGTATAAATTCCATAAAAACTCAACAAGAAATGTAGGTTTTTAGAGCACTAGCACTAGCACTTTCCTATAAAATTTTCATTTCCAATGTGCATAACTCCTTTAAAAATTGTTGAGCTGTAATGAATTTCGAACTCATCAGAGACATTGCTGATATAAACCTTTGATATAATTTTTTTTTAGATAAGGCAAGAATTGTACATGTGTGAGCTATTACAAGACCAGACAAAAGTATGTCCAGTGTTCATATGTCCCCTTCACAATGTTGTGTGGTTTGGACAAAATAGTCTCCATGAAAATGACCTACTATTAGTGGTTAGCCTAAAACTGACCTAATTACAAACAATTTTTGATGTCACTGCTGCCATCGTCACTAGAAACAACACACCTCGTCAGGCCTCTGTGGCTTCTTCAAAAGGAGACCGGAAGTATGTGTCACTCAGCACAGAGTGAAAATATAACTAAATGAATTTGTTATGACACAATTACTTACAACAATAGATTATTTTGCCAGAAAATTTCCAGTCATTAAGGGACACATTTTTTTTGTTAGTTGTTAAATGACTATGAACTATAAATTACTTCTGCTCATACATTTAATCTTTTTACATTCTCTGTTATGAATCCATAGATTGTCATTTTATTTTTTTAAATACAGGCAGCAAATTTCTAGAACTATGCACTTTTTTCGTTATGAATGTATATGTAGGTGACACATTTTTAGTTCAATGAAACTAAATATAGCTTCGTTTAAAGCTGAAGAGCATTAGGGGACACAATGAAATGTCTCATCTGCTTATTGATAATGCACAAAATGTTAGCCATATCAGAAACAAAGTTGTGTACTGTACTGATATATATTAAAGCAAAGACTTTACTATCACTAACACAAATCTTTTACGTAAGCTAGAAATCGAAATATTTTCTGTCATAACAGAAATTTCAGTAATAAGAGATTTTTTCAAGATTTTAAACTTTATTTGAATTTTCAAATACATCAAACAATACAAATGGAACATTTTAAAAATAAATGCATGTAAAACATAAACATATGAACATGATTTATACATTGCTTTACTATTATAAATCTGTCAACTACTAACACTAACAAAAGCTGTCTGTGTACCTTCTATAGAGTCGAGATGAACATGATTATGATTTGTGTAGATCGTAAAATTTTAGTGCAGTTACTTCTATGATTCAATTTATTGAGTAACTTATGCAAATTACAAAATGATTTTTTTCTCAATCAATAGCAATTAGAAAACCATACATAATAATGTATGATTTTAAAGAATGAGAGCTTTCTACTTCAAATATTTTATTATAAGAATAACTGCTCTGGAAAATGAATTAACATGGTCTTTTATATTTTTAAGTATAAGTAAAGAGGATAACATCCATTTAACATGTAAAAAAGATGTAGAATTTCCATTGAAAAAAGCCAAAATGAGATTAGACAATAAAAAAAATTAAAACCCCAAAAAAGTAACTGTTAATTCTTAATATATATAGCTGAGCTTCTGATACTTTTTTAAGCAAAGGCTAATCTTTTTAACAATGAATCTTTATATTTTGTCTAAATTATTTGGTTTAAAGCCTAGCATGAGATGTTTTTGCATATATTTGCTTTCTATTGTAAGGGAAACCAAGCAATAAAAACAAATAGAACACATTTTGTTTTGTTATCTATTGCATCTTATACAGATAGAGAACAGATAATCTTTTTGTGAATTTCTAAAAGACAAAAAACTTCAATCTTGTCGTTTTTTGCATTGATGTCAACAAAGTAGATATTAAAAAGAAAAAAATACTAATAATATAAACTGGACAAGAGTTTATTACAGATGGCAAACTGAAAGAGAAACACAACTCTTCTGAAAGTATTGTTTTCATAATCCACACAAGTTTAAAAAATATTACAATAAGCCATCATTAACTATTTTATCATAAATATATCTTTATTATTTCTAATAAACAATATCTTTAATTCTTAATGTATAAATGATCTATTCAAACATCATCTATTTTCTTTCTCCAAAACTTTAACTATAATGTATTGCATCTAAATCCTGAGAGAGTAAGACATTGAGATAATACCTGAGCAAAATAAAATTAAGTGTTAAAACTCTTCAGTTGTCTTTTAACTCTGTGGGTTTTTTTTTTGTGCAAACTTGTGTCTTTAATATTTTTGATTTTCTGAGAAAAATAATCTGTCAATTGAAATATCTATAACTTATCTACAGAAAAGAAAATAATAATTCTTTTGCTTTTATTATGATGTGTTCTTTGAGAAAAAGTTATGGTTCAACTAACAAGTAAAAAAAAACACAAAACATTTATATTGCATTTTTTGTACAGCAGTAAGCCTATCATAATAACAAAGAAAAGCTTAACAAAGTAAATAATAAACAGAAATGTATAAAATAAATCAATAAAACGAGATTCAACACATTATCAGGCCACATTGATTATTTTATGTCAGAAACCACAAACATGTTAACCAACCTTCTTCCTCCAAGTCAACTCAATAAGCAAGTTACAGAATCTTTTAAAAAAAAATCCTGGGCAACTGAAATAAAAAATTGCTCAAGTAAAATAGGCTTCATTACGATAACCTCATCTTAGATTTCCTGAAATTTTATTTCAACAACTGACCATTTTTAGAAAGCTCTTGTAACAATTTACTAGTACTGACCACTGATTAACAAATATATAGTTCTGGTGTAACAGATGAATGTGTGAAAATAAATATGAGACAGATGAAAAGTATTTAATCAAGTAAAACTTGTAAAACTAAAGTTAAAACAAAAACACAAAACTTTTGCAGATTTCGAATAAGGCATAGGCTATGTAGATATTATATAAAAAAATGTTAATGCTAAAATAGAATGATAGCTCTTACAATGTGACCTCAACATGCAGAAAAACAACCTATGTGAATGCTCTAAAAAGTCTAACAAATGGTATAAAAAACAAACAAAAAATTTACGTAAAAAAGCACACAAAATAAATTAGTTGCAAAGATAATATATGCATAAATCTATATTCAATACTAATAAGAATGTTTTGATTTAAATAAATGGCACAAATAATTTAACATTTACTATTAATTCAGAAATTATTGAGAGTTTTTTTATGAATGCAAATAATGCGACTGAGTGAGTGTGGCATTAATAAGAACTCGCATTCTGATATCTGATACAAATATCTGTATGCAGATTTTCTTGAAATCACAATTATTAATCTCAGATTTTAATTAATTCCTAAAAAATAGTAATAATTTCTGAATTTACAGTACCTTTTGAAATAAAAGCAGTGAAAAGTCTACAGATAATGCAAACATCATATTTCAGGTTTTTTTTTTTCTTTATAAGCTTCAATATGTCTATAAATAGATTAAGTTTTATAATGATAGTTAAAAAACAAATGATATAATCTTATCACACTATTGCCAAAATAAAAACATTCTTTACAAAAAATAGGAAAAGGAAACAATCATCTGTGATTCTGACAGATTTAACTTGAAATGTGTCTTTTAACAACCTTAAATACTGCATCACAGTATATCATGAAAAAGTCTGGTTTAATTTACCCTTCCAAACCTGTATTTTTTGTCTAGACATGAAGTTAAAAAAATCTTGAAAAAAGTAAGCCGTAATAAAATGCTGGTGAATTTTTCTCTTAGGTCTTCCTCAAAAACATACACTAAATCTAGGGAAGGCACTTTGAAATCAACTATGGGTTGTTGTCACATACTTTTTTGTACAGTGAAAATGTAAGTGATATTCTATAATTGCAACTAAAGGTGGTTACCACACTTCGAGAGTGCCTTCCCTTTGGTACCATGCATGTTTTAATGAAACAGCCCTAAACATAAAATGAAAATTAACACCACATTTAAGCGATAATTGCACCAACATAAAAAATCAAAAAATACATTTATACATTTTAACATTTACACACATGTAAAATTTACAAATGAATTCAAACAAGGATTATCCTTAACTCAACACGCTCAATATCACTTGGTAATAAATATGAAAGCTAGAACTAAATATATTGTTTCTTTTGTTATTGGATGGAGAGAATCACTCAGAATAAATGACATGCAATATTTTCTCATGTTTTTCTTATATTTATCTTTCTTTTAATACAATACTTGTGATCGGCAATTCTTCAACACTGAGTACAGGCCAAAACCATCCTCATTATTTCAAATGTTCAGGTTGCTGCCATTTTTATTTTTATGATTTAAAGGCAGTATCACAACAAAATAAACAGATCCCGAGACAAATTTCTATAACTGTATAAATCTATTAAATCTATCTAACTAAATATACAAACAATGTTGCGAACAGGATAAAATTTTGCTGGAAGTATCAAGTTCTTATGACCAGATTTGACTTACAGTAGACACAACATGGCAGTTATATGACTTGTCTAATTCACATTTAAAGCTATTCAACCACACATATACACTCAAAATATATCATACAGGTGGGAAGTGAACAGATGTTTAAAGGAAATGATAATCTGAACTGAGACATGACATAGTCAAAATTTCCAAAATTAAAGTTGTTAATCACTTTTTTTTCATACTGTAGATTCATTTATTACAAAATGATAAAAATAATGTTTCGTGTTGACCACAATCCAAAAATTCATTTTTATCAAATTATAACATTGGACATGTTGGACAATTTGTAAAATGGCTCATAATTTAATACTGTAGGATATCATCGAAGGTAGATATATTGCTGGCATAGTAATAGGATCATTCAATTTCATTAATTTTGTAGGCAAAATAATTCAAAAAGCAAGATGCAAATTTAAAACCATTTTGTATATTATTAAAAATATCATTGTCAGTTGTGTTACATATTCATCTATAATCCCTGCATTACAAGTCTTATATAGGTTGGTTTAAATGGTTGCATTGCATTAAATAGCAAACTAGAAGTGAATAATAATAATAACGTCAAAAGTTAAAATACTTTTGATTCATTTACTGACTAGCTTCAACATATTAAACATCACTTTTGATTAAATACCTGGCCAAGTATATAACTAAAACATTAATGTAGATGTTTATACAATAAATATAACTTAAACGTAACTGTAGGAGTGAAATGGTCTTGGCTGCCTACTGAGTATGAAAGCTATTGCTGAAGAGCACACATGAATGTTTTAAATCAAAGGCAAATCAAAAAAATATTATGAGACAGTGACCTTGATTAAATGAAGCACGAAAGCTTCAAACTGTATGTACTGATAGATATATTTCTATGTTAAAGTTAAGAAAACTTTATTCTTAACTTTACAACAACTTTTAACTTTTTTAGAGGTATATCTTAACTGTATCATCACAAATTTCCTATTTCAAGGTAATACTGAGGTTGAAAAAAAAAAATATATTGATTAATATATTTTTCATTTTTGGTGTACAGTTTTTAATAATCCTATTCATGCCTGACAAATGAAATTTCACCCATAATTTTCATGTTAATAAAAGTAAAACTAACGCTTTAGACAAATAAAAAATAATTACAAAGTTTAATATACATATATACAAAACAATAACTAATTCATATAATTCAGAGACATTTGTTCACACAAGCATACAAGCATTGTTCAAATTGTCTATTATGAGATTTCAATATATATAGATATATATATCCACAACATGTATAGCCGAACCTCGTACACGACACAACCTTTAACTTAAAATCACTGGGATTAAGCACATCAATGGTCCCCAAAGTTTTACTGGAATGTAAAGCTTATATCATATTACTCCTGTAATATCAAACTGGAAAATAATAGCACTAAGGAATGAAAACTTAAAACATCAAGGATGAAACAGCTTATAAGATAGTGATACATGACAGTTCATTCTTTATCCATCGACATTGCAAATATGGTGTGTAACTCTGTATGGTTTAGACAGCATGTAGTGATATTATTATATCAGCTTGAAATAAATATAATCCTCCTCGTTCCATTTGTGCTTAGAACAACCTCGTATCTATTGTCTAGTCTTTTACAAGGAAATCAATTATGTCTCTATTTCAAAAAGTTCGGCAAAGTGAGAATGAATTTTTTCTACATAACGCACCCACGTCAATATTTCCCATCCAACGATCCATTCACATTCTCTTTATAATGATTTATGCCTAATGAACAGAGTAAATGCTACACAAATGTATGCATGGCTGATGGAGCAGCCACATCGGAAGCTGTCATTTTTTCTGCACCATATTGTCCTATAAATGAACCATCTTCATTAAATCGACTAGGATCAGGATCGGCATATTCTTCTAGACTGTCTTTATCACTTTCTAGGGGACCTTTGTCAAAATCATCGGGACTACCAGCTAAAGGTTGTGTCTCACCACTGTAATTTAAAACAATAAAAGCAATTAACTTTCTTTACCAAACTCAAGTTGTATTTTCTATTTTAAACATGTTGATGAACAAATATTACATTTAAATGATTATTTTGATTGATTGGTGATAATGGCTGCTAAATAGTCTGTGGCAAGTATTACATGCATATTTATGATGATAACAAAGTTGCTGTTATATGAAGATATAGCAGTCACTGGACTGACACACTTTGTCAGATTTTGTATGTGCTAGCTCTCCAGGTAAGTCAGCAGGCTGGACAAAATGGGATGATGACACTCTTTTGAGACTATTTTTGTAATGATATGATTCATGTCTGTTACTGGTATGTTGAGATCAAACTAAGTTATCATTATATCATGGCATTGTCAGTTGATTTTCATCTTATGAGTTTGAATGTCCCTTTGGTGTCTTTTGCCTCTCTTAATGAATATTTATATAATTAAGATAAGAAGTCACTCAAGTAGGAAATTATGAATTTGCATGTGTTTTGTGTTAATCTTGGGAGTTTTCTATATTGCTTGCGAAAAAAGCATTCTCCATCATAAATATTGTATTACATATTATACATATGTTGAGGTTGATTGAGATGGGAGTTGAGAGTTGTTAAAAGTGAAGATTGTTAGACAAAGCAGCATAACTCAAACCTGCTTTGGTTATAGGTAGCCTATAGAAAAAATTGACAAAAACAATGAAAATGTGAATTCCTTTATGCTGTACAGGAAAATGATAATACAATTTGAAAAGGCATTATTTATGTATTACTGAAAAATTATTACACCAGGGTTTTCGATATCATAAACTAGTCAAAACATTTACTAAATTTTATCATCAGTATAAGGACACCATTCGTAAATATAACTCAACATGCAGACATCTTATACGTTCGGGTATTTCACATCCAATCTTTTATGGTAATATTCTTTACAAAGCACAAAAATGTCAGTACTCACCTCAAAAGCTAACAAAACCTTTAAACAGACTTATTAAGAAGGGATATAGTTAAGATACTGTTGTCAGGTCATTAAAGATTGCATATTTTGGCTTTAATATTGATTCACTTATAGGGTCTTTGCATCGGAATTAAACATATTTATTCTAAAACCAGTTGTTAGCATGACACGGGTTATGTTCTTCTCATATATTTTATGATGGTATAATACTAAACCCCTAACAGGAGGGATTGTGCCTGATATTCATATGATGACGACATAATCTTTCAATCAGTTTAATTGAGGTCTGGAGCTGGCATGTCAGTAACTGCTAGTAGTCTGTTGTTATTTATGTATTATTGTCATTTTGTTTATTTTCTTTTGTTTCCTATTCTGACATCGGACTCAGACTTCTCTTAAACTGAGTTTTACTGTGCGTACTGTTGTACGTTTGTTTTTTCTACATTGGCTAGAGGTATAAGGGGAGGGTTGAGATCTCAAAAAACATGTTTAACCCCGCAGCATTTTTGCACCTGTCCCAAGTCAGGAGCCTCTGACCTTTGTTAGTCTTGTATCATTTTTAATTTTAGTTTCTTTTGTATAATTTGGAGTTTAGTATGATGTCCATTATCACTGAACTAGTATACATATTTGTTTAGGGGCCAGCTGAAGGACGCCTCCGGGTGCGGGAGTTTCTCGCTGCATTGAAGACCCATTGGTGGCCTTCGGCTGTTGTCTGCTCTATGGTCGGGTTGTTGTCTCTTTGACACATTCCCCATTTCCATTCTCAATTTTATTATGTTTTTTTATGCAGATAAACATTTGTGAACACCATTTTGCTATCCCTTTTATAACTCTTGAACATAGAGAAAGCAGACATGTTTTTTTATTACTTTTTCCCCTTAGAAATATTACCGGTACTAGTACATTCTTGTGTCACTAGGTGTTAAAAAGAGTATTTAAAATTCTAAATGTATGATAATGGTGGTCTCTTTTTGCATCACTGGAGCTGTTTATTTTAGTTGTAAAAGTAAGACTTTTATAAAAAGGATTGCTTTAGTAGTCAGGCCAAATTGTCACTGTACTTTCAAATTTTGGTCTCACTAATTAGAGACCAGAAGAAATTTAGTGTTTGATTATTTTTTAAAGCCTCACTGTACATTTGTTTCTCTGTCTTTGTTTCATAAAATGATGCAGACATTATTTATCAAACTGCAACTGATCATGTGTACAAATAGGTGTCGAGATGAGGCATGGAAGTTACAAAATTGTAAAAGGATAAGGAAACACTCCTGGAAACAGTTCTATGTTTAGACTTGAACAGCTACCAGTATTGGATTTCAGAAGACATTTATAAAAGTCTTCTTCCACCAAAAAGTGATTTGTTTTCACAAATGTTGTTTAAAAAGAAATCAATTAAACATTATAACAGGGACTTTAGATCCATTCTAAAAGTGCACAAGAAGAAAATGATTTGTGCAAATTTGGGATGAAAACCAATTAACATTTAACATAATATGTAGGTTTTTCTAATTTGGGCTATCATTTTTTCTTCTGTCAAGAATATTCTGTAACTGACATGAAGATTTTCACTGTATTCAGAATCCTTGTATAATGTTTTTAATAGAGTCCCTTATGTCTGCCTTAAAATAAATTGTCACAGAGAGCTTATAAGGGCTAAAAGTTTCGAGACATTTTACATATTTAACTATGTGATGACAAAATTAACAATTTCTGTTCTGCTTACTACTTTGTCAACTATAATCAATTTTTTTAGTTTAAAGTAGCTAACCCCTCTGGAATTATTCAAAATAGTACAAATACAAACAAAAGAAAATGATGAATGTGTATCAATGAGACAACAGTCCAATAAACCAAAAACAACATCTAGAGATTTACTCAGATTTAGACAAGTGTCTACATTAAAGTTCAAATTAAAAATTGCCCCAAGTTTTCAATGAATTTAAGAAAGGCAATCAAATATCTGACATAAATGCATGTTGTTTTCCAAAAGCAGCAAAGAAAATTCCATCATTTGTTTATCAGAACATTTACAAGCAAAATACTGGACCAACCTCCTGCAAAACCTAGCGAGTTACAAATTAATATAAAAAGAGTGCACACGCTGAAATGTCTCACCTGCTTTACTGATCATGATTGAATTTATGTTGAAAGTCTTTAAGGCAACTATCGCATAAACTTAGCATTATCAAGATCTATCTTAACTTAATGAAGTGAAAGTCAGATAAATCCTGCCAGACAGACATGTACACCTTACAATCAGTCCATACCCCAAGCATAGTTAACCATCTGAGAAACAAGCCTAATAGCACAGACATTTAACCTAGACCAATGAACCAAGAAAACAAGGTCTACGTCAGATGAAACCTTCAAGATGGACATGTTCATTATTCCATACACCAAATATAGTTTCTTATAGAACCTGAGAAATAGTCCTAATCATAAAAGCTTACAATAATCTTGATCACTGATCAATGAAATGAGGTCAAGGTCAGGTGAACCCTGTCTGATGGATATGAAGACCTTGCAAGGATCTCATATACCAAATATTGTGATCCTTTTACTTATAATAAGTGAGAAAGATATATGAAAAACAGTCACTGAATTGTGAAATGAGGTCAAGGACAATGGACATATGACACATAGAAACATCGAAACAGAAGGCATTTACATACAGAGTTTGAAGCATCTAGATCTTGTACCTTCTTCAATATCAAGCTTAATACAAAGAGTATAATCCATCAGATTAGCATACATATGTTGAGCATTCTTAGATGAATACTTTCGTTTAGGGCAAGAAAATAATAAGATTTCAGGCAAGACAATAATAAGAAGATGTGGTATAATTGCCAATGAGACATCTATCACCTGAGGCTAAATGACATCACTGTTTGTACTGTATAAGTGTTTTCACTGGAACTTTCATCAGAAATTATAGTACTTCATAATTTACTTGACTAATAATGTATATCAATGTTAGTTCAGGGCTATGCAAGGGATAATTATTTAGGGGTAGTTGGGATGGTAGTGGCTCTCTTTATTCATTCTTAAGAGTGGTCACTGTTAATTTAAATCAACTGTTAGAGAAAGGGGGATTTCCAGCTACAAACAACAGAACAATACCATTCTGTCATCCACAAACTAATCATTTTTTTATTTTTCAATGATAAAAGTGTTTTGTTTTGTTTATGCTGCCAAGTTTGAAAATGACCTTTAAGAATTTGTCATTTTGAAAAATGATAAGTCAACCTAATTCTGTGGAAGTAGAACACCCAACTTTTAAAACCAAAGAAAACATTGGTCTATCTGACCCCATTACTTCATTTAACCTAACAATATTTAGTGTGATCAAGTATTTTGATTTGAAATAAACGCTTTCTTAAGTTACAAATGGTAAATAGTTACGTTTGAAGTTACAAATGGTAAATAGTTACGTTTGAAGTTACAAATGGTAAATAGTTACGTTTGAAGTTACAAATGGTAAATAGTTACGTTTGAAGTTACAAATGGTAAATAGTTACGTTTGAAGTTACAAATGGTAAATAGTTACGTTTGAAGCAGAAGCATCACGGACAAATAGATTGGTTGCTTTATATCAGATACTTACTTCATACAATCATTTAATGCCTTCTTTCTACCAAATGAAAAAGGAACTCATATCACAAGATATTGCACATGCTGAAATATCTTCCCTGCTCTACTGTTTATGAATGAATTTTATGTTGAAATATCTTCCCTGCTCTACTGTTTATGAATGAAAATCGTTAAGATCAATGTCTTACTACAGGTATCACATAAACTTATCAATGAATCATGAAAATCAGGTCAATGTCAGAAGGACAATTACAATTTTCTATGCCCCGAAGATAGTTGACCTATTTCTTATGGTATCTTAGAATCTTGCCTAAGGAGTAAGGACTATTCAAAATTTGACACTAACCAATAAACCAGGAAAGTAAGGTCATGGTCAAATGATCCCTGTCAGACAGACAATTACACCTTACAATAATTCTTTACGCTTGATATAGTTGACCTATTACTTATAGTATCTGAGAAACAAACCTTATCATGACTAATGAAAATGAGGTCAAGGTCAGATGAACCCTTTCTGTCTGATATGTATACCTTGCAATGATTCTATCTACTAAATATAGTTGACATTTTACTTATACTAACTGGGGAAAAAAATCACATGAAAAAATGAATGGGTTTTAATTTGATAAAAAAAAAAATGAATGAGGAATGTGTTAATGGGGCACAGATGATGACCCTGCTTGCATATAACGTTATAACGGGACATAGCTAAAGAACGGTAAAAGTGATTCGTACTTGATCTGAGTCTTGTGGTAATAAGCATTGTGTATAAGTTTCATAACATTATGTTGAGGCAAACTTGATAGAGAATGGAAACGAAAAATTCAGCTATTTTGTCCATTTGTAAAGGGGCATAACTCTAGAAAGGTAAAAGGCAAAACTAAAGTTAGGGAACAGAACATGCCAACTGACATGATATTCGCATGTAATACATGCTTTTTCAACGGTTTACACACGAGGATTTTGTCACATGGCGTGTACACGCTTTTCATCACTTTACACGCAATTACACGCTTTTTCGTTATTTAGATTTTTTGGTCGTTAGTGATATTGCGATTCTCGTTTTTTTTCTTTTTTAAATTCATGTTGGGGAAATGTCCACAGAAAGAGGTCGCTTTCGGGAACTGTACCCTCGTCTAAAGAGCCAATTGTTAAGTGAAAACGATGTGTACGTCTAAGATTGAGATTCAAGATTTATAAATTGTATTTGTGAGTTCGAGTTTAAATGATCGAGGGACGAGTAAGGCATTGTGCACCACCCTATGTTGTAATCATAACAATACATGTGAGAGGAGAACTGCAATGTAGCTATTTGATTAAGCTTTTAATGTGTTTAATGGTAATCAAATAAAAAAATATTTTTCTTTATCAGTTTCAAATCTAGCCAACAGATTTACACAGGCCATAGGGGATGGAAATATCACAGAATTGTTGGATCAGTTCTCATAGAACCAGCTGTCTTCTGATAAACTACCTAGTTTTGACCAGGCAATAGCAACATATATAGTTTGTTGGGAGCAATGGCAGAGATAATAGATGACATTTTAGACAGCAAAAAAAACGTTATGACACTCTTTCAAAGCTTGATAAAGCTATTTTAGTTCAGCCAATATCAATTCTGACTGTGAGAGAGCATTTTCAATTATAAAGAAATTCACACTGAATTCTGATCAGAACTTGACAATGATATATTGTGTGCCTTGTTATCAAGTAAATGTAACCAAACTGGCAGTTGTTTTGAATTTGTACCTAGTGGTTTTGCTTTAAAAGTAGCAAAACAGACCACTGTTGAATTCAATAAAAGTTTATAGTAGAATATTGTTTTTTATATTAACAAATTTGTATAATGTGAAATTATGAACATTGTTAAAAAGTCCGCATCTTCATCGCGCGTTTTCACACGCTTTTTGACATGTCATGACATGATTTCTCATTGTCAGAGAATGGCAAGTATGAAACAGAAACCAATTTCGGGACGTACTGACGTACGGACAGACAGACGTACAAGGTAAAAAATTAAAAAACAAGATTAAGCATTATGATTGGCCTCACTTTTCCATATTTGGTGAATTGTGAATTCTCTTGCTCTCGCCCCCTAAACACTGTATTAGGTCACTAGCAAACCTTGCTACTGAAAGTATACTAACTTTCCATTTGATGTGACTAAAAGTTCATGCTAAACCTTAAATCAAAACCTTAACCTACCTTAAACCCAAACTTTAACGTAAGTTTCACATTGATGTGACCACTACTTCATAATAACTTGCCTTAAACCAAAATTAAACCTACTTTAAACCCATATGATACAGGACAGAACAACGTAGAAACAGTTGGACGGATGCACACATTAAAAAACACCCTTACTTTAGTAGGTGGAGCAAAAAAAGTTATCCTTATCATTTTAAATCACTAAAGAAATCTTAGGACCCCATTTGATTATTTAACTAGCTGTTAAGTGCAAATTCTAAATTGAAAAATTGTGTCACACAAAAAACATCAATCTTTATTAGTTCCTGGTTATTTATGCATGAATATTTTTTGAGGCAAATATTTCATCAGCTAGAATTGATTATAACTATAAAAAAAAAGCATGTATCTTTTAAAACAATGTCAGTTAATTTATGAAAGGAGATGTTCAAATTAAACTTCATGACAGCCAAATTGACATAATGCACACATGTTATGATAATAAGCTGTTTATGATGAAAACAACATCAATAAAATTGAACATAAAAAGAAATAAACCAAATAGAAGAAGCCACTACAATTAAACAAAACATGCATAAAATTTGAAAGTGAAACTGAAAGTAGAGCTGGGGAAGAAAAAATATCAAAAATAACACCTGCATTTTGTCAGGACTCACAGCTCATCAAAATCCCAGGTGGCTATCCTTTAAGGAATAGGGAAAAACAAAAATATAAATAATATTAAGTAATAACATAATTTCTACTGACAATATAAATCCTTATTGTATGATGAAGTCCTGAATAGTTCATCTTAACTCATGGAAATTAAGCAAATTGTGTTGAAGTGTTGTTCTTCTTTTTGTAAAATTTCAAGAAGATGATTCCCAAAAGTATATGAATCATTAAATTCATAGTAGGCTTTATAAAATTATAATAGAAGTTAAAACACGATAAGCCTTTTCCCTGTTAAGTAAGATGTTGTATATCAATTTGCCTGGTGCTCTCAAGCTAAACTATAACTTGATATTCTCGTCCTGAATACTTTGTGATACTGGCCACTGTACCAACAATCAATGCATATGATTTGACCAAATTACACTGATATTTAGACATATATATATGATTTAAATGCTATGACAACACATCTTCCACAAGACAAGATTTACATATATATCTATTGGGATATGGTAAAATTACATAATGAATTACGAGTCTTACCATTTCATGCAAAACATATTATCTGTTTTTGAAATTCTATTTTTTTTTTCATATTGAAATTTATCATGGTCTTGAATGTAATACATTTAGGGAAAGCAGAAATTGAAAAAGTAATATAAAAAGACTTGATTTATAATAAGCAATTATCTCTGACCATATTTTGATATTACAATTGAAGAAAAAATCAAATTAATAAATCTAAGAGTCTCAAAGCATTCAAATCAGGTAGATGTAAGTGTTTCCCCAAGTATTAATGCTAGGACAGAAAAAGTTTGAAGCTGTCATTAAATAAACAATAGAAAAGTATGAAATAAAACTGATAAAATAATATAATAACTAATTCAAAGAAATTGTAAAGAGGAAATGAAGACAGGAAACAATACAACAGTGAGAAAGCCAAAACAATGTGAAGAATGATTTGATGAGAATGATTGATGCGTGAGGAATTTTTTACTAGATACAGAAATATTGTTTATTTCATGAAAGAAACTTTTTTTTATAAAACAGATACTCGTGGTGGTGTCTGCCATAAAAAGTTGTATCCAATATACAAAATGGGAGCCACTAACAAAACTTCCATCTTAGAACTTACTACTACAACATGGGTACTTAACATCCTTTACTTCCAGTTCTTACACAGAGGGACCTCTAAGAACCAAAACAGAACTCTCTGCCAATTCTATATATATCACAGAATTGTATTTAACAACCTGTAATTTTTTTAAACTTTCCTGAGGGCTATTCCTGGAAATATCTTTACAGCAGTATGACATTATAGTATTCCCCACAAGTCAAATTGTAAATTCTGTAAAATTCTTTTTCCTGGTCTTTCGAGCAATCTCATGGTCAATTATGGATGCCTTGAAATATCAAGACTTTCCAGTTTTGCATCAGCAATAATTGTTTTCAAACAAAGAACTTTGCTTCCAATTTCAGGATTTTTTGCAAAGGGAGATCACTGTTGATTAGGACAGACTGATTCCCTGTCAATGCAAACCTTAAGTAAAGAGAATGTTATGATGTATGTGAGTAATATAAAATTTGATGTGTCATGCACTTGTAAAGTAAAAATTATTATTCCTCACAACACCCCTCAACCATGTCAATTGCTTTATATAGGCAGGGACCATAGTTTGTCCTTTGAAGGAGTTGTTCCCCTTTGCCCAAAAATATAAAAATAGGAAACAAACTTGATTATTTGAAAATCCTTGTCTTAGTTTTTGAACCTATGTTTAAATTGTTAATGAAGTTCTTAATTATAACTTTTGACTTCTTCTGTTTTCTATTAAGTTCAACTCAAATGGAGGCTTCGACATGACTCATAAAATTGATGAGCTTGACAAGTACAGGTTAAATTGACCAGTGTTGGTTAGTTTGATCAGTGTAGATTAGTATGACTACTTATGTCCATCTAATGAGTCAAGACATGATATATTCAAAGCAATAAACATGATGATTATGGCATAGTAAGTCCAGATTAAATGATGAATGAATGTTGATTGTTTGTCGGGCTGCTGTATAGCTTACTTGTCATTAAATCCATTATATTGAGCTGTCTTCTTTTCATCATTCTCCAAACCTCTTAATTTCTCTTTTTCTTGTACTAAAAAAATAAATCAAGTAATGCTTAAAGTCAAATAAAATCGACATTAAAAAACTGGGTTTTGTGTATTGTATCCTATTCAACTAATGAGCTAATGGTCGTCCCTTGCCTCAAACCATTCCAGCAAAAAAATTGCTGGTAGACACAAGAGGAAAATCATGACAAATTATGATTAAAATTTCAAAAAAGTTAGCACAAAAGTAAGTAGAGGATGTAGAAAGCCTTGATTGACTTATAAAGTTGTACTTTTATATTCTAATATTGAAGATAACTTATATTTCAGTCAGACACGCTTTTGCATGTGGCTGCCCAAATGTCTGAAAAAAGTTAACCCAAAATTGCACATAATCTTATTATCAGTAATGCAACTTATCTTTCAGACCAGCTATTATTTGGGGCTGTCTTATGGAATTTCTGTAAGTCTGCTTTTATTTCAACACACTATCTGGTAATTTCTATGTTTGTTTTTATTTGCAAAACAAATGAAACAGTACAAAAAACTCTGACTTACCATGGTATTTATCTCCTCTGCTGCGTTTTACAAGGCACACTATAAATAATATTAGTATAAGTAAAGCTAAGACAACCATCATGATGATGAACCATTCTGCATTATACACAGCAGATGCTACCTCTGAAAAAAAAAATAAAACTTTTAATCAAGCAGAGCATCAATAGCATGATTAGTTTTTATCAAAGATGATTTACTGTAAAGTGTATTAGATTTTGATGTTTCCAGCACCATATCTACTTGCAAGGTTTCAATTGCATGTTTTTTCTTGTCCCTGATTCTGATCTTGCTATAAGATCAAATTTATGCCAGGAAATATTTTCAAAATATTACCTTAATCTAGAAATTAGCAAGAATAAACCTCTCAAGAAAATCTCCAAATCTATGTCACTGTGGACTGGGCATACACCAAATTTACATTTATGGCAAATATCAGACAGTGGCTTGGTACCACTTTTATTAACTGTAAATTCATATTTATTTCAACATATACAAATCTTTCAACAAATTCGGAAAAAACAAATACATTCATTCATAACCTAAATATTATACCTCAAGCTAAATAGAGACCAAAAACTGACAGACTAATTATTTCGACAAAGCACTACAAAATTACATCCTGAACTAATAATGTAATTCAGAAAATTTATAGCTGTAGTTCAGTTATTCTGAATTTTACTAGAGAACTATGTAAAAAGTATGGAAAAGCCATATCCAATCTTATCATAGATATTGACGATAAAACTATCATATATATTGATCAATATAACCTTTACTAAATGAAATTCTATCAAGAAACTGTAAATTAAGACTTTTTCAAATAACAAAATTAACATACCTGTAAATATTGTTTCAGCTTTAAAGCGGCCGCTATGAAAGGCGGTTAAGCATTTAATGAGATACTAAAAACACATATATATATATATAAGGCGTACATTTATTTTCCCATGTGCGTGCAACAAGGATCCGGAAATTTTTCCACACAATTTCGGTCATTTTGAGATGATTGAAAAGTTGGTGCCCCTTTCCAAATTGTTGATGTCAACTTAACTAGATTCATAGCATCAACGAACTTGTATTGCTGTTTCATCGCATTTACTAAGTAAATGTCTTACCATTACCATGAAGAACAGTTAAGGGAAGGCAATAGTTTAAAATTGAAATGATTTTAATTACTCAAAATGGTAAATCTCTCAGACATTGCTTACGTTTCTTTCGATTTGACAAAAGTTAAAACCGGAAGTTTGCGATAAAGTTAAAATACGAATAATTCCGGATTCATTTCCGGGATTTGTTTTGTTTATCAAATTGACAGGAAATCACCGGCTTTTTTTAATTTTATTACCTTTAAAAGTGTTTGAATGTAACAGACAATAGTTGCACTCGTTTAATTTGGCATTACATTTGCATTTTACGATTAAATTATAAATTTGCTGAAGACAATTTCACGCATGCATATTATATAGTAAAAAAAGCACATGAAAAAAATACTTTTTTCTTCGTAAATTTAGGTTTAATTTTTAAATCAGATTTGATGATTGTCTTTGCTGAAAAGTAATTAAATAATGAATACACGTGTCAGGGAATTTCAATTTTTGTTAAGATATTATTCTGAGCTTGTGATCACTGTCAGGTGTGAATATTAAAACCACAGGTAAAAAGTGATTAGCGATCATTAGCCAATGTTTCCCGGAGGCATTGATATAGATATTAGGAGGGCCCTCAGGATTATCAAACTACTGGAGTGGCAGTTTTATTACAGGAAAGGGATTATAAACAAAAACAAGTGATTACAACTTACACAAGACAGTGCAAAATGGCGATTAAGGAATCCGATTTCAAACATTGAGTCAATGAAATGACCGAAATTACTTCTTTAAAAAAATAAAATTTGTCCTAAATCCCAATTTCTTGTTTAGGACAAATAGTTTCATCTTAGGACATGACTGGCATATATGACCGTTTCCGGACCCTTGGCGTGCAATCATATTTCTATTCTAGCAAACGCATAAATTGTGCAGTGATGTGTATTTGAACTGTCGTCAGTCTCAGGCAAACGTTATATTGAGAATTATGAAACAGAAAGTGAAATGAGTGGCATAAATGAACTGATGAATGACAAATCAAACATTTTAATTATACATATAATGACAATGGCAACATGTTCCCCCACCAAGCAAAAATAATTCATCCCTGAATTATCGTAGAATGTATCCCAGCAAATACACTATACATAATATTTATAAATTTCTCTCATTTTTATCCATTGTGGCCTCCATATGACATGCTCGTGAGACAAAAACAAAAGAGCAACAACATTCATCCTATCAGAGATTGGATGATAGAGAAAGTAAATGCTATTTACCATCAGTCTTTGCTGTCGTTACAAGTTTAATTTCACTACGAGCTTTAAAATTCCCACTTTCAGCAACCACTTTAACTTCATAAGAACTACCAGATGTCAAATTATTTATGACAGACCACGTATTTCTCTTTTCAAGTGGTCCAGATTGAAATTTGTGTTCTCCTGAAAAATAAAACAAAACATATCTTTGGCTACTTTAGACATAATATAATATTTCTTACATAAAATATTTTTCAAATCAGCAAGCTCTTTTAAGATGTAGTTTACTGCACATGAAAAAAATCTTGCCTCTAACTGACTGAAGGCATTTTGGAAATGTCATTTCACATATAAATTGCTTTCCTGCAGATAAAACACATTAATTCCTGCCGACTTTTCATTACTGTCATGCCATAGCTTAGCCTGATTTGAATGATGCCTTCCATGTATTTAACTAAAATTTAAATTAAAATTCAATTTGAAAGTCTTATCTATAGTTTAAATTCATCAAATAAGATTCCTCATAAAAGTGATGATAAAATTTAAGTTAATTCAACATATCGAAAAATTAGAAGTTTGAAAAAGTGGTTACACTTTACAGCTCATCACTATCAAGCTTTTGACAAATATGAAGTCATTCTGTTTCCCCTTTAGTAGTACAAGAGAACTAGAGGCTCTAAAGAGCCTGTGTCGCTCACCTTGGTTTATGTGCATATTAAACAAAGGACACACATTATAGACAAGAATAGAATTCATGACAAAATTCTCTATTTTCGTGATGGTGACTTGTTTGTAGATCTTACTTTACTGAACATTCTTGCTGTTTACAATTATCTCTATCTATAATTAACTTGGCCCAGTAGTTTCAGAGTAAAAGATTTTTGTAAAAATTTACAAATAATTGTGGATAGTGTCCACATGTGGACACAGATGATGCCCCTGCTTGCACATCATATAGTTATAAAGGGACATAACTGAAGAACGGTAAAAGTGACGCTACCCAAATTTGAACTTGATCTGAGTTTTGTGGTAATTAGCATTGTGTGTAAGTCTCATAACATTTGGTTGAAGCTAACTTAAGTAGAGAACAGAAACTAAAAATTCAGCAATTTTTCTATTTGTAAACACGCATAACTCTAGAACGGTTGTGTATAAGTTTTATAACATTTGGTTGAGACAAACTAAAGTAAGAGAACGGAAACGAAAAATAATTTTTATGTTTATAAAGGGACATAACTCAAGAATGGTAAAAGGGTTGCCACCAATTTTCGTACTTAATCTGTATTATGTAGTAATAAGCATTGTGTATAAGTTTCATAACATTTGGTTGAGGCAAACTATAGTTAGAAAACGGAAACAAATTAATTTATCAGTAGGAAGTAAAATTGAATATTGCATTGTATAAAGCATTGGTTGTAGTTGATTCAACTACCATTATGCACAAAGAAAGATAATTCCAATTTTCAAAGAAGACTTTCAAATATTTTTTTATATTTTTAAAAATTGCTTTAATTTATCAGTGGAAGGCAAAATTAAACATTGCATTGTATAAAGCATTGATTGTAGTTGATTCAACTATAATCATGGACAAAGGAAGATAACTCCAATTTTAAAAATGACTTGATATTTAGAAAAAAAAAAGAAAATTTACAATTTTTCCATTTGTAAAGGGCATAACTCTAAAACAGTAAAAGTGACGACACCAAAATTCAAACTTGAGCTGTATATTGTGGTAATAAACATTGTGTATAAGTTTCATAACATTTGGTTGAGGCAAACATAAGTTAGAGAACGGAAACGAAAAATTTAGCAATTTTTCCATTTGTAAAGGAGCACAACTCTAGAACGGTAAAAGTGACGCCACCAAAATTCAAACTTGATCTGTATTTAGTGATAATGAGCATTGTCTATAAGTTTCATAACATTTGGTTGAGGCAAAATAAAGTTAGAGAACAGAAACCAACTTTGGGACGTACGGACGGACGGACATACAGACGGACAAGGGTAAAACTTAATGCCCCCTCCGCTATGGCGGGGGCATAAAAATTACGAAAAATTGTGAAAAATTAACTTTAAAGGGCAATTACTCTGGTAGGGGTCAATTGACAATTTCACCATGTCGACTTATTTGTAGAGTCTACTTTGTTGAACAATTTTGCTGTCTACAGTTTATCTCTATCTATTATAATATTCAAGATAATAACCAAAAACTGCAAAATTTCCTTAAAATTACCAATTTAGGGGCAGCAACCTACTAAGGGGTTGTTTGATGCATCTGAAAATAACATGGCAGATAGATCTTGACCTGATGAACAATTTTACTTCTCCGCAGATTTGCTCTTAATGCTTTAGTTTCAGAGATATAAGCCAAAAACGGCATTTTACCCCCATGTTCTATTTTTAGCCATGGCAGCCATCTTGGTTAATGGCCAGGGTCATCGGATACATTTTTTAAACTAGATACCCTAAGGATGATTGAGCTTAAGTTTGGTTTAATTTGGCCCAGTAGTTTCAGAGGAGAAGTTTTTGTAAAGATTACAAAAATAAGAAAAAATTGTGAAAAATTGACTTTAAAGGGCAATAACTCTTTAAGGAGTCAATTGACAATTTTGGTCATGTTGACTTATTTGTAGTTCTTACTTTACTGAAAATTCTTACTGTTTACAATTATCTCTATCTATAATGAACTTGGCCTAATAGTTTCAGAAAAAAAGTTTTTTGTAAAAATTTACAAAAAATTATGAAAAATTGTGAAAAACTGACTTTAAAGGGCAATAACTCCAGAAGGGGTCAATTGACAATTTTGACCATGTTGACTTATTTGTAGAGCTTACTTTGCTGAACAATTTTGCTGTTTACAGTTTATCTCTATTTATATCTCAAGATAATAACCAAAAACTGCAAAATTTCCTTAAAATTACCAATTTAGGGGCAGCAACTCAATAAGGGGTTGTTTGATGCATCTGAAAGTTTCAAGGCAGATAGATCTTGACCTGATGAACAAATTCACTCCCCTCAGATTTGCTCTAAATGCTTTAGTTTCAGAGATATAAGCCAAAAAAGGCATTTTACCCCCATGTTTTATTTTTAGCCATTGTGGCCATCTTGGTTGATGGGCAGGGTCATCGGATACATTTTTAAAACTAGATACCCTAAGGATGATTTAGGCCAAGTTTGGTTTTATTTGGCCTAGTAGTTTCAGAGGAGAAGATTTTTGTAACAGTTAACGTACGACGGACGCCAAGTGATGAGACCTGGTGGGCCAGGTGAGCTAAAAATGTGACAAAAATATAAACAGACACGAAAGGAATCCTAGAATGGAGGTATAAAAAGAGTAGACAGTTGCTGTCTTTTCTCTCTATGTCACATGATTGTCACTGTTTTAAAATTTATACATTATATCCCAAGCCATTGTATTTTTTAAATTTTGAAAGTATGAGATAATGAAAAAGAATTTGTAAATTGCTTCATATATCCTTGACAATTCTTCAATAAATGGTCACCAGGATAATTAAACAAATTATTAAATGCAAAGTTTTAACTTAAAAGAAGGACACAAATGGGTTAGATTGTATTTACCATATTTTCTGTACTCCACAAAGTAATGATATCCTGCGACATCACCTTTGTTGATCTGCCAGGAAACATTGATAGATGTTTTAGCTGGGAGAGCATCCAGAATGTAAGGAACAGTAGGCACTGCAATAATAATAAAGACTAGCGTTTAGTTTACAGCAGAAATACAAGTGTCCAGATGATCAGATTTTCAATAACTGTATCTTGGAGAGAGATATGGGTCACTCCTCCTTTCTCCTCTGTGGACCAAAATCATATTTTTTACTGGTCAATTTAAAGGAAAAAAACATTATAAAGTATAAAGTTATATATTCATTTGTCAACATCTCTTTTTGAAAATCCAAAATTTGCATAAATGGTTTGAGAATCAGCAATTTCACAAATATTGTACTACAACTTGTGTGATTTTAATAAATCGAGAAAATAAGTACAGAATCCAATAAATTATAATAAATCCAAATGAATTTTTCTTCATCATGTTCTAATTTCATGTTTGTATCACCACCTGGTTATAAATCTTATTTCAGTAAGTTTACCTTAAACAGAGAAGGATGTGTGCCGGAATGTCTGCTAAGGTTAAAACAACTTTAAAAATTAATATGTGTTACTAAAAAATGCTTATCTGCTTTGCATGCAGATGATTATGGTAAGACAATGGCTGGTTGACTTAGAGAAGGAAAAATGTGTTCAAGAGGGTGATATATCTTACTGCAAATTGCTACCTTATGAGCTAGAATATAAAATGATCTCAGTGTGTTAGGCGAGTAAAAATTGTCGTTTTAGGTCGAAATACTGGGTCACCATTTTCTGCAGTTTAACTTTAACTGTTTTGTGTTTTTACATTTATGTTTTTCTTCTCCAATATTTAGTGAATGAACATTTGACCATTTCTTCATCTCCTTTGACTGTTTACTAATCTTTGTATTTTGTTCTTGAAACTACTTTACAACATTTACTTGTTTTTAAAGCATTATGGGATGCCTTTAACAGAGCAACATTTTACTAAGCACTGCCAGGTTGGTTTCTTGATTATTTTTCTCAAGTTAACTTATGAGACCATTTAGACAAGTTCTCGACTTGAGGCGTTAAATGTTATTAGCTGTTCCTTTTAGTTAATCTAGGTACTGGTATCTGATAATACAATCAACTTGTTTTTTTCAATCAATGTTCATAGTTCAGGTGTATTGTGTTTTTTTTGTTTTTTCTTTGAAAATTCAGTATACTATTTTAGTTGAATCTTTTTATTCATATTTTTCTAAATAAATACTAACTATTTTCAGGAGCAGTTTTGACATCTACAAATTCAATTTCACCTCTTCCTGTTTTAGTTTTGGCCCAAACTTTTATTCTGTAATTAGTATTAAGCTCTAGTCCTGGTACCCCAAATTCATACCGGTTTCTTTCCGCAACCCATTCAGGTTTAGACTGTACAGGTAAAGATTCTTTGTCTACACCAAGTCCTATAACTGAAAAATCAATTTTCACATTAAAAATTTTCTTTTTTGAGAATTTTATTTGAGGGTACTAATTCTCATGGTTTCCATGGGTAAAGGTTAAGCATTAATTAAAATTGTTTTAACGAAGATTTCATCCATGTGAAATATCCCTTTATGTATAGTACATTACATATTTTTTTTATCTGTAAGTTTGAAGTTTAAGCATATTTTTTTAAAAGATGGTTTTCCTGCTAACTATTTAACTATGTCAAGAAAATGAAAATTATTTATGCTTGTGAAGTTCAGGTGCAACTGTTTGAAGCTTAATCTTTTTCATTTAATCATAAAACAATGTTAATGTTCTGCTTATATTCTAACAATGACTTACTAATCAAATTAATATGAACAGTAAACTTCTAAAAAATATGTCAGAAAACACCACAGACTGAAGAGCTACAGTTCTGAAGCTACTCCTTTACATTCAGTATTAAAACATAATACTAATCCTGTGTAAAACGCTTAGCTTAAAAGGATCTGATAACACTCTTTTTTACCTTCTGTATTGAAGACCTTTTCCGCATCCACAAGTTTTGTTGTAATGATACATGCCTTCAAAATTTTGGAGGCAGAATCTTCCTTGTTATGATAAAAATTACAAGAACAGAAAGGAGAACCAAGTGTTGTCAGATTCTCGTAGGAGAAGCAGGGACACAGGATATGTATTTTAATAAGGTTTGCATAAAATGAACACGCAAAAATTGACCCCAGCCACAAGGTAGTAGTAATCACGTTAATAGATACTTCCAAAAAAACGTAAGACAGAATAATTTAAACAATGAAAGTAAAGTCAAATTCATATGTATATCAATCCGAGCATAAGAATTCAGATGCCTTAACAAAATGACCAATACTGCCTCAAAACAAGTGAAGATATTATTATACCTTTGCTTTGCAAAGCTAGGATGCATAGTCATTGTTATACTGTAAATTCAGATATTTTTTCAATGTTTTTATCATTGGGAAAATAGGTAGTAAAAATATTAACCTGCAAATTATTTCTATGCATTCCACCCCCCCCCCCCCAAAAAAAAATAAATTAAGTTCGCACTTGTGCCTATTGTCCAACAATCACAATAATAAATGCATGCAATAGTTTCTGAATTTACAGTATCTGAATGGTAAATTTGTTTAACTGAATGCCTGTTCAACTCAGAAGTCCAAGAAGTATATTTTTAAACAGATGCAAGCCTAATATAATGTATTGAGTTTAATTCTACATGCATGTATGGCTTGTTAAACAAGTTGTTAATTATCTGTAAAGAAATTTGCAGCAATGATTGTGGAAATTTGAGACAAAATAGAGTTAAAGACAGCTGAATACATAATGTTGTTAGTAAAGAAACTATTCCCAACTTCCTCAACCACTGCTTTTTTTAGTGAAACTTCAGTAACTTGAACAATCTCAATTATGTTTATTGCATTTGGCTATTCCATTAAAATAGATGTGAAAGGGTATGAAGGGACATCCCAAATCCTGCCACAACCAAAATACCTATGAGTAAGCTCGCAAACATAAAATGAACAAACAACCAGAAAAAAACCCATGTCCCAAAAAAATAAATAAAAATCCCCTCTCCTACCAAACCACATTCATTTTATGGAATAGCATTGATATATTGTACTGATCTAATTTAAATATTTTACAATTCCAAATTAGTAACACAGCTTTTGGTTTTGGCAGTAGTGATATATATATTAAATTCCTTGATTAAAGTGAACAATCAAGCCTTTAAAACTTCTTTATCCATGCTTGAAAAATCAAATAATAAAATCAGCTGTAAAGTTCAAATGACTTTTCACATCTTTAAAACATAGATCAAGCATATGCAGAGAAACTCTACATTATAATGTTTGATCTTTAAATTGTTAAACATTGCTACTGAAGTTTCACTGAAGAGTTATCTTAAAGTTCAAAAATGGGCAGATAAAGAAATTATTTCAAGATAGTATATTTTTTGAAGATAAGTCAAAATGCCATCTACCAAGATGATCAACTTATATAAACACGAAATTTCTAAATCTGTCCATTTTTTAACAAGCAAATAGAATAAAATGTTTACCAGAAGATGTAAATAATCCTGTTACTGAAATAAGTTTGATTTTTTTCCTATAACAATTATGCAAAAATATCCTATGTAGGCAAAATAAAATAAATTAGAGGCAACAATCCTGTATCTTATACCTTGCTAAAAAATACCACCTGATTCCCCTCAAAAGTAAAGAGCAGTATGGATATCAAATCCCCTCTTATTTTTGCTGGAATATTTTTTTCAAAATCAAATTTAAGTTTACTTTTACCAATCCCAACGACAGTGTAAAGTTTAAGGTAAATAAATTCTGAGCATACTAGAGTTAGTGTGCAACATGTAATTGGAGTCCCACTTCTGAGCATACTCGAGTTAGTGTGTAACATGTAATTGGAGTCCCACAACGTGGCAATGACAAAATAGAAAAATTTCACAATTTAAAGCAGGCTTACATCCACAAATCCCAAGAACACTATTCAAAGCGTTTTTGAGTTATTGTTTGAAATGTAGACAGATGAACAGATAGATGGATGACAACAGTATACAATTATATATACATGTACTGTCTTTGATGTGGTATACCAACAAAATAAACATATGTAGAATTTTTGTCCACAAAAATTCAAAAGACAAAAATGTAATCAACTACAGGTCATCATATGACCTTCAACGATGATCAAAACCCATACCATATAGTAAGCTTAAAATTATAGTCTTTAGTTTTCTATGTTGTGTTTTGTATACTGTTGTTTGTCTTTTGGTACTTTTCTTTTTTTTGCCGTGGCATTGTCAGTTCATTTTCGACTTATGAGTTTGAATGTCCCTTTGGTATCTTTCACCTCTCTTTCAAACGGCCCAGGAATAACAAAATATGAAACAATTCAAATAAGAGAAGTCTGAGTATACTTGATCCTCTTCAAATTCTTATATTTGCAAAGTCATACTCTTAACATAAATGTCAAAAACAATTATAAAATGTTGATGAATTCTAGCTGTTGTACAAAGCAGAATAATACAATAAAAACTTTCTAAAAATATCATGCAGGCTGCTTATAATAATTAATTGTGCAATATATGAAAATTTTTGGCTTAAAATGTTTAATACTAAAAAACAGAAATTAACAATTAATCAATTAATTAACGATAAAATCACTTTCTTTCAAACAGCTTTTTTCAGTAATTGTGATCGATATTTTGAAAAAAAATTGATTTGTAGTAGCTTATCTAAAAGAAATTAATGATTTCTTTTAATCTATCCAAAATTGCTATACAACTAGCTGTCCTGCCCTGATTTATAACTTCTTGAAAAATTCCTTTCAGATAATTCCCTTTTACAAATGAAAGCACTAAATATTTAACATTAACTTTTTTCGAATTTTTATTCTATAAATTTGTATTTCAAATCATATAAAAAAAAAAACATTATTTAGTAAACAATAATTTCTGTGAGTTAGAGATTACTTAGAAAACAACCAAAAAAACCCAATATAATAAAAACTGAGCAGACCCATAGCTTAACCATAGTAAATCTTGCCAAATAACACTAGCCATCCTAAACAATAAAGAAATAAGTTTATTTAAAGCTATATACATGTGCAGATACAATAAAAAAGATCCTCCTGATGTTAGAAACTTACTTTCTTCATATTCAATATCATATCCAATTATTTCTCCATTTTCTTCCTTCGGTTTTTCCCATTTAATTTTGACAAAATGACCACTTCTGTACATGGACTCTAAACTTTGTACAGGCCCAGGAACTGCAATAACAAATACAATTCATTGTTGGATATTTATTGAAAGCTTGCACTGAGTTTTATCAGATCTAAAATGATCAATTAAATCATCCTTTAAATTGCAAATACCACAATGAAAGGTAAAACTATTTGGACAACTGTCTGTTAAATTTTACAATAAACTAACTTTATAAATTGTACAATACTCATCAACTCCTTGCTGTATTATAGAACTTTAGAGAATTTACTTTATTTCTCTGTCTACTTCCATGTACACAGGGGGTCGAATTTCACATTTCAGAAAAGCACCATGTCATGAATTCTAGGAATAATCAACATATCTTTATTAGATCTTTTCTCTATTTACAAAACTTATAGAAAGCTAATTTCTCAAATATGAAATGATTTTACCTACATTTACCATTGTCTTTAATTAGATCTGTCTATCATTTTTTTTCCATTACTACAAGAAACAGTTGATCAGAAATGACAGCTGTTAAGGGAGACACATCTAGTTATCTTCCTGTATTATAAAACCACTCTACCTCCCTTCCTCTTGAGTTGTTATATTGATCTTGTTACTTCCTGACATTATAAAACTATTCTACATACCTCCCTCTGGAGTTGTTATATTGATCTTGTTACTGCCATTAGAATCAAGGTATGTATTTCTAGCAACAACGTCTAACTGTAGATCAGAGTTTGGTGGAAGACGAACTGTTCTCCTAATTTTACTTTCTACTGTAGCTTTCCTCCTCTTTCTCCTCCTGTTTTTTTTAGTACCAGGAACCTCTACCTGAATCTCTTTAACCTTATCAGGTTGGTCAATATGCCAGTATCTTATCTGTACAAAATTAAAGACTATTATGATAAATAAACAGAGTTAATGAGGGATATTATTGTTCCACCTGTCAAAATCAGTAAACCACTTGTTCAACAAAGTAATAGATAATTACTTGAATGAATGTTCAATAAAATTTGTCAAGTTTAAGTTCTATAATCATTATCTGTCTAATATGCTTTAACTTTATCTGTACATTCTTTTAAAGGAGGCGGTCATATATTTTTTAATTGAACTCCTTTGCATAAAATTACCTTGATCACAGTTTCATTTATTATACATATTTATCAAATTTTTGTCCAGCTATGTATGTCATATATTCTGTGTTTGTGTTGCCACAAGACTAGTTTCATAGCTGTTCTGTTACCCTTTGGCTGATTGTGTATCCTACTTTCAAATAATGGAAAATGTGTCCATGTGACATAGACGATGCCCCCGCTTGCATATAAAGTTGTAAAGGGGCATAACCCTAGAACGGTAAAAGTGACGCATCCCAAACATGATCTGTGTTTTGTGGTAATAAGTGTTGTGTATAAGTTTCATAGCATTTGGTTGACGCAACCTAAAGTTAGAGAAAGGAAACCAATTTTGGGATGTAAAGACGGACAAGGGTAACACTTAATGCATAAAAAAAGACCAAGGGGTGGGGTAGGACAAGTACAGACTTCCAAAATCTCCCACAAATGAATTTAAATATAGAAAAACTGAAAGAGCAAAAAAGTTTAGACATCAAAACAAATGAACAGCTGAAGACAAGTAAAAAAAGTCCTGCTCCAAAAATGAATTGACATATAAATAAGTAGCCAGTTATGAAATAGAAATCAGCAAAGCATAAAAGAACACTTTCTTATGTACAAATTACAGAGGACCAATTGAGAAACAGTGGGAGATTGCTGAGATTGTCATACTTAATCAACAGAGATTGAAGGTTTCTGAACCAGTTTATATAATCTATAAAACAAAGGAACATCTGACATAAAAATATTTCAAAGAGAAACTGACACAGATGGAACAATTCTATCCTAAACTTGGTCATTTCACTTTTAATAAGTAAATGTGATTTTTACAGGAGGAATTTATAAATTAATGATTCCTCTCAAGAACTGTACAAATAATTCTATAAATAAAAGGAGATGTTGGGTATAAGTCCATAAGACAGCAACCAAACAACAACATAAAATCAAAGCGCAAAAGCACTGGAAAAGGTCTTTGCTGTTTACTAAGAAATATGCCAGCGTGAAAGTTTTCCCCCTTTGAGAACAAGTAGATTATTACCTACGTTATCACAAGTCATGAAATAGTTTCATGTCATATATCACCAGTAAAACAATTATCAGTTTAATATGTTAAAACACTTTTACTGGTATAAATTATAAAATACAATGATATACTGAAACTTGATAATCCAAAAAATGTTTTCTCATAAATCAGATTTCATTCATCATTCATAATCATAATGAAATTTCCAGTATTGCAACATAAAAAACAAACAAAACTGCCATTCATTATCAATTTGTTAAAAAAATTTAAAGTCTTAACATAATTATTTTAATGTACCTTGTATCCATCGAATTTTCCTTGCATTGCTTCTGCCGACATGTCAACTGCATCCCATCTGAGACCTATTGTTTCATGTGTATATGGTGCGTCTGGATCAACTTCAAAGTTTCCTGGTACAACTGTAGGTACTTCAATGATCAAAACAGAAAACATCAGATTAACTTTAAATAATGATATAATGCTGGACTAAGGAATTACTAGTTTTATATTTTGCAAATAACAATTTGTAAAAAAATTCAAGAATGAAGTTAACCTGCATGACTAAGGAATTACTTGTTTTCTATTATACAAATAACAATTTTTTTAAAGTAGAGTATAAAGTTTTACTTGCACGACTAAGAAATTACTAGTTTTATAGTATACAAATAATAATTTGATCAATTTTTTTATGTATCCAAAACAAAACTATATGAATTATGGGTGTTTGAGTTATAAAGAACTGTTAAAGCTTGACAACAATCACCAATTTATTGCAAGAATCTTACCTCCCATTCCAGAATGTCCTCTGTATATCAAAGGTGGTATTGCTGCTTCTCCTTTACTGTTCACTGCTTTCACTTGTACTTTATATTCTTTATATATATTACCCACATCAATTTCCTTCCTGGTAGTCTTCCAGTCTGTTACCTGATATGAACTTTTATTCCCAGCTTTATCTTGTGTAATTATCACATACATAAAACCTGGTCCATTTTGGTCAATAGGTTCAACTGGCTATATTTAAAAAAACATAAACATTTTTATTATAATTTATACAATTTTAAATCAAACTGTTGGTTTTCTCTTTTGAATTGCTTTACATTTTGTTATCCCAGTTCATTTTATAACTTACTATAAAGTATGGGTTTTTCTCATTGTCAAAGGTGGTACATTGAGCTGTAGCTGTTTACACCTTGTCCTTCCATCTCTTGTGGATAATAGTCTTATTGGCAATCATGCCACATCTTATTTTCATAATCATATTATATATATTGGTTTTAAGTTTAGCTTACAAACAAATATTCATGTAAAAACTGTTGTTTTTTATGGAAGTATGTAATCTATTTGGGGAATATACCCCTTGAAATATATATGTCCAATTGGCTTTTCTTTGTAAATTTTGAGGTTGTTAACAATAACTAGCTATTCTGTAGGAAATTTACCATCATTTTATTATAAATGGAAGCAAATATCCAGTCCTCATTAATAAACATGTACATTTAAGACAATTTTTGGCTGCATGAAATTGTAGTTATTAAGCCAAAATGTGGGAAAACATGTACTGTGGATTCATTATTAATCATTGGATACCAATTTTTGTGGATTTTGTGGATATTTTGTGGAACCACGAAATTTTCGAAAGGCTTGTATACAGACTTTGACAAAACCACAAAATCAAATATTTAGAAAATTGTAATTTTTCATCAATCCACCAATTTGGTACCCACTAAAATAATTGAACTCACAGTAAATGATAAAACAACCAATCACAGATAGCCAACTATTGTTATTTTTTTTATCTTGTTTCTTTTTCAAGATGGCTGCCTACTTATAATGCTAAAAAAATCCCAAACTATACATGATGCACGAAACATTATCTTTATACAATTAAAAAAAATCTACACCATAATATACATGTGGACTAAGTTTAAAGTTGATGTGACCACCACCTCAATATAAACTCTCTGGGCTTCTTTTACTTTAGGGGTCCCAACCAATATAGAGCTATACTAAACTATCCTTAACCATACCCTAATCCATACCCAAACCTATCACAAACTCAGTGATCGGGAAGGACGTGCGCCTTGCGCCAATTGCGCTTATCGACCAGAAATGGCGCATAGAGTGACAAATGTAAGCGCCCGCGTGGCGCATGATATTTTTCACTTCGTTTTGAAACGTTGAGATATCGTCAAATGGATTTCCGATCGTATATTGTGCCGCCATGTGTGCGTACACAACTGTGTAGTGTTTACTCCAATTATAGGAGCACCTATATATTTTTGGGACGTCTTGGGTGTTTTCCTATGGTAATAATAGCAACATACGGTATGACTGATTACCCAAAAAACGTAATTAACCATCATTCATGATATAATTTTTTTATAAACAACTTTAAATTTGTGGAAATTGGCTAGTACAGGCGAGAATTCTTCTCTAATTATAATCTTTTAAGTAAGCTTGCTATTATTTCGATTGAAAAATTCAAAAGCCTTTTTATGAATAGCATAGTATTTGTCTCCATAAAAGGGGCTTAACTGTCCTTGTCAATTTTTTTGGTCTTTGGCTCGTTTTGACATTTTGTAAACATGCCTTCAGCGAATTGTTGTTGTGTCTTATCAATTAACGTTCCTCTCTACTGTTATTCTTGTCATCGTGATGAAGTAATAATAATACAAGTGCAGAGGAAATGCCAGAAACGTCCTCTACTACAGAACGTCTGGAATAAGTATGGTATCGACAAAGACCCAAATTTAATGTAAAAAAAACATGAACATGAACAAGGGAACAGTACCAGTTTTAACATTGTAAATAAAGGTTATCGTAAATATTCCCCGGTTTGGAAGAAGTTATTGTATATTCATTGAAATTGAAACTACAAAATCACAAGAACAATATCCATGATATTAATTAGAATCATACTTGTAAGTACAGTGAAATATACACTTTTTTTATTGTAAACGAATGGCCCACTCATTTGACAACATGGCCCATTAATTCTAAAAATGGCCCATTGAATTTATTTTTGCGGGGCCCTGGGCCCATAGAGAAAAAATCCTTCCAGATCACTGCAAACTCTCAACTAACACTAACGTAGATCATCCCCATACCTAGCAATAGCCTAGCTGTTGAACGGTAGCTCTTACGTCTATGATATTTTTTGACCACGCTCTGAATCTGCATCTAACAATAACCATGAATGAACCCAACTCTAACTAAAATAAGGCCGGATTGCCAATGAGACAACTCTTCATCTAATCCTCAGAAAATCGCCCCGGACTCAGAATCCCAAAAGGGATTACTCTTCACCAGAGACCAAATGACATAGAAGTTAGCAACTATAGGTCACTGTACAGCCTTCAACTATGAGCAAAATCCATACCACATAGTAATCTATAAACTTACCTTACCCTAACCCATACCTAATCCTAGTTCTAACCTTATAACCTAACTCCTAAACTAATAAACATCCCTTAAAATAACCATAAGTAAACCCTTATCATAAAGTACAGGGACCCCTAAAGTGAAAGTAGGCCAACTTTCTTGACAAAAAACTTTATCCTGATACTAGACGAAGTAATGGATAGACGAACAGATGGACAAAAAGATGCACAGATAAGATAGCATAATGCCCTCCTACTTCTATATGCGAAGCACTAAAAGAATATGTGTCCACAGGACTGTATATGAAAATAAGGAGATGTGGTATGATTGCCAATGAGACAACTATCCACCAAAGTTCAAATGAAGTGGATGTAAGCAATTATAGGCAACAGTACGGCCTTCAATAATGAGAAACAAAACAATTTACGAAAAAACAAATATGACAGACATGAACGAATGACAACCATTGAACTACAGTCTGCTCACACTTAGCAAATATCCACATTCAGTGAACCATTAAATAAGTTTCAAGTTGATGCGACCACCACTCCAATGTAAACTTCCTTAACCAATAGTTTTAACCTGATACTAGACGAAGTTATAATGGATGGACAAACAGATGCACAGACAGAAAAACATAATGCCCCCCCTTCTTCCATATGCGAGGTGTAAAAAACAGGACTAAATGCCCTGCTAACACTAGCATATTTCCACATTCAGTGAATATATTTTAAAAGTTCATATCATTATGAACACAAGAACAAAGTTTCAAGTTGATATGACCACAACTTGATAAAATGATAAAATACTTTTAACAAAAACTTAAACCTGACAAGGGATGGACAGAGGGACAGACAGAGGGATGCATGCATACAAACATAGATAGAAAAATATAACACCTATAGATGGGGGATACATCAATGAGCCCAACAACACAAAAAGCCTGACATATAAAGGTCAACATACAACCTTGACCTATGGACAGGAAATAGCCCAGAGTCAAATAAAGTTTTCAATACTGTGGATTTATTTATTTTGAAGGGTTTCAACTTTCGAGGATTGAGAAAAAATAAATCATGGATATTTGATTTCCTGGTTTTGCCAAATCCTGCATACAAGCCTTACTGAAGCCTATAGAAAATTTGCACTGCATTAAACATTTAAATTTGTGGTTCACTTTTACCCAGAAAATCAACAAGAATTGGTACTCCATGAAACTAAAAAGTGTAAAATAAAATGTTATTTTTATCTTAAAGACTGCAGTATTTAAACACTTACATCCCATTCAATAACTAGCTTTCTTGTCTTGTTTTCTATAATCCTGACATTAGTTGGATGTTGTTCAGGAATAGCAGCTTTTGTAGAACATATTGGTGTGATGTTAGAAAAAACACTTTCTCCTAGCTGGTTTCTTGCCTTGATTTTGAATGTGTAGTTAGCGAAGGCAGACAGTCTCTGTTCATATTCATTTACATCACCTAATAATTCATTTATCTTTTTGTAAACATTGTCATAGTTGGTCTTGGAATAAATGACATAATTTGAAATTGGCAGATAGTTGTCAAATCCAGGTCTCCAAAATAGCGTCACCTTTAGATTACCACAGGTTTTAATAGTCACGTCTCTTGGTGGATCTGGCGGTGCTGTAAACAATAACATACTCATCAATTTAAAATAAGCATATCTTTAATTGCAATTGTCTTTGTACAAAAATTCTGTTTTCCAGCACACCAAAAAGTTGTATTTAAATATCTTTGAATTTTGTAAACTAGGTCAAGTTACATAAACACCATAATGACACAAGAGTGCACACGCTGAAATGTCTCGCCTTCTTTACTAATCATTGATATTATGTTGATAGTCCTAAATATAAAGCTTTATTACAACTGTCACATAAACTTAACATTAACCAAGTAAACTAAACATTGACCAATGAACCATGAAAATGAGGTCAAGGTCAGATGAACCATGCTAGGCAGGCATGTACAGCTAACAATTCTTCCATACAACAAATATAGTTGACCTATTGCTTATAGTTTAAGAAAAACAGACCAAAACACAAAAACTTAACACTGAGCAATGAACCTTGAAAATGAGGTCAAGGTCAAATAAAACCTGCGTGACTGCTAAATAGATCATAAAATATTTCCATACACCAAATATAGTTGAACTATTGCATATAGTATTAGAAAAAAAAGACCAAAACTCAAAAAACTTAACTTTGACCACTGAACCATGAAAATAAGGTCAAGGTCAGATGACACCTGCCCGCTAGACATGTACACCTTACAATCATTCCATACACCAAATATAGTAGACCTATGGCATAAAGTATAAGAAAAACAGACCAAAACACAAAAACTTAACTATAACCACTGAACCATGAAAATGAGGTCAAGGTCAGATGACACCTGCCAGTTGGACATGTACACCTTACAGTCCTTCCATACACCGAATATACTAGACCTATTGCTTATAGTATCTGAGATATGGACTTGACCACCAAAACTTAACCTTGTTCATTGATCCATGAAATGAGGTCGAGGTCAAGTGAAAACTGTCTGACGGGCATGAGGACCTTGCAAGGTACGCACATACCAAATATAGTTGAACTATTGCATATAGTATTAGAAAAAAAGACAAAAACTCAAAAACTTAACTTTGACCACTGAACCATGAAAATGAGGTCAAGGTCAGATGACACCTGCCCGCTAGACATGTACACCTTACAATCATTCCATACAACAAATATAGTAGACCTATGGCATACAGTATAAGAAAAACAGACCAAAACACAAAAACTTAACTATAACCACTGAACCATGAAAATGAGGTCAAGGTCAGATGACACCTGCCAGTTGGACATGTACACCTTACAGTCCTTCCATACACCGAATATACTAGACCTATTGCTTATAGTATCTGAGATATGGACTTGACCACCAAAACTTAACCTTGTTCACTGATCCATGAAATGAGGTCGAGGTCAAGTGAAAACTGTCTGACGGGCATGAGGACCTTGCAAGGTACGCACATACCAAATATAGTTATTCTATTACTTATAATAAGAGAGAATCTAACATTACAAAAAATCTTAACTTTTTTTTCAAGTAGTCACTGAACCATGAAAATGAGGTCAAGGACATTGGACATGTGACTGACGGAAACTTCGTAACATGAGGCATCAATATACAAAGTATGAAGCATCCAGACCTTCCACCTTCTAAAATATAAAGCTTTTAAGAAGTTAGCTAATGCCGCCGCCGCCGGATCACTATCCCTATGTCGAGCTTTCTGCGACAAAAGTCGCAGGCTCGACAATAAACCTAATTAATAACAAATAATTATATAAATTCATTGTAATTTTTTTCTTATCAAACATAAGAAAATGGTTACACAATCATTTTTCTCAATTTTCAATATATTTGATTCTCTTTTTACAGAAACACATTTCTGGTTGAAGTTAAGCATAGTGAAAATATTAATATGTAAATGTGCATTTGAAGATAATTTTTAATATATATATATAAACTCATTATATGTGAAATAGGATCAAATTTTTCTAAAAAAAAATAACATAAGAACATTATGCACAATGTCAGCTGTCAAATCACTATTTCAATGCAAATGTAGACAACAGATCAGACAATAAACAAATATGTGTCCCCTGTTTTATAAAAGAGCGAACTGTTTCTTAGATAATTTTTTTCTATTTTATGTTTTTTTTTCTATTATTCGTATACAATCATTTGATGTTATTATGACCACCCTGTTGGGAAAGTTTCCTTAAATAGAATATTCCTCATAAACAGTATCAGAACCCTTTACAAGTTATAGGAAGAAAAACTCACCTTTGACCTTGAGCTGACTTATACCAGTGTCTGAGTCTACTTTGTTATCAGCAACACATGAATAATTAGCAGAATCTTTACTACTAGTTTTAACAATCGACAGAGTATCCCCATTCTCAAGGATTTGTATGTTGCCATCATCATCGTTGTTATTGATACGCTCTCCGTTTTTATACCATAATTTTTCTAAGAATTGCTGTTCAGAAGGGTCACTGGTAGCCAGGCAGTTAAATATTGCACCTTCTCCGTATGCCAAACTCCGTTCAACTGGTCTCAGAGTAACTTTAGTTTTTTCTGAAAAAAAAAAGATAAGAATTTTGATATTTATATAATTTCAATCAACAATCCTATACATAAGGATTTTATTCTGAATTGGAGTAATAAGTCCAAGTTAAGTATATTTTTACAGCAATATGAGTGTTATATAGGAATTTAGGTTATGACTTGTGTGTTATCCACTGTTGTTTGTCTTTGTTTGTAAGTCTGATTTTCTTACATGAAATGATAGACCACTATTAGATTAACAGGTTAACTTATGTATTGCTTTGTTGAAAAATTTATATATAAAAGCAACTGTCAATGAGGCATTCAATTCAAAATTCCAATTTCAATTTCAATCAGATGTGGCTTAGTATTTAAACATCCGATGCAGAACTTACACTCATAAGATCTTAAAACTTAGTACAGCGAGTACTTACTTCTAACTATTAGTTCCCCTGTTTTGTTGTCACTACCAAATCTATTTGAAGATATGCAGGTGTATTTACCATTATCTTTCTTAAGGACATCCTGTAAAAAATAAGTTACATTTCAAATAATATATGTTGTCATTGTTTCCAGTTCCTAGTTCATACATTTATATGATTGTGTTAAAATCAAGGTTTAAAGTTGACCATAGTTGGTTTTGGCTTATCTGATTAGATCCTTATGGTTTTTATGCTATCAAAGGTTTGATATCTTTGGCCTTCCAAACATGATGAAGCTTATTCAATTTATAACTAATGTGGGTTTTTTTTTTTAATTAAGACAGAAAATAAATTCTACCAAAGAATAGTTATAATGTAACTGAAAGAACTGACAGTGGAGGTCATCCAATCAAAAGTGATTTTACCAAAGAATAGTTATAATACGACTGAAAGAACTGACAGCGGAGGTCATCCAATCAAAAGTGATTTTACCAAAGAATAGTTATAATGTAACTGAAAGAACTGACAGTGGAGGTCATCCAATCAAAACTGATTTTACCAAAGAATAGTTATAATACGACTGAAAGAACTGACAGTGGAGGTCATCCAATCAAAAGTGATTTTTTTCATGTCATATTGTATTAGAATATTTGGCAACATTTACCTTTATTAAGACAGTATTGTGAGTAAATTCATATCTTTCTGTGTTAAGAGGCTGTACATTATTTTTCATCCATTTCAGTGCAGGATCGGGTTTACCATTGTGTTCACATTTCAGTGTGACAGAATTTCCTTCAGCAACTTTCACTTTCCCAGGACCCTCAGTTACTAATGCTTTTAAAGCTGTTGAAAATTTTATAATAATTAGTAAATGTACAAGCAATATTTATTATATTACCAGCAATTAATCATTTTTCTTGGTGAAATATCTGTTTACACTGCACAGATCTTACAAGTAAAACAATACCTCATTTTGTGGTTACTCAGTGAATCAAAAGTAATCTCCCTTTGACATAATGGATGACTAAAGGTAAAATAACTGTGGCATATTGAAACTAATCAAGCATTTTCTTTTTTAATATCCTACTCTTCTACACTAAAAATACCATACTGATTAATGCTTAATGAGTCACATTCATCCGCATGTGATTCTATTTAATATCATCCCAAAGAATGTGCCTACAAAGTGTCTACACATTATGAAATTCTTTTATGCCAAAAAGATAATTTTTTTAGTGAACATGTGTTAAAATAACTCTAGATTCATCATAATTTGTGGTAACAAATTTTCATGGATGTTCTGACTTGAGATAACTTCAAATTTCAGTGTTCAAAAAAACACATTTTCCGGTAAACTTATAATTTGTCAAATCATAAAATCCAGTATCAATGTGAATGAATTTTTTCCTAAATCCACAAAACTTGGTACCCATGAAATAATGAATCCAGAGTATACTTTTTACAGTACAAATAAATCTTTTCAGTATGAACTATTTGTTATTAGTTAAGTTTGACTTACCCAACACATTTAGATAGACATCTGCCATCAATGATCCATGTTTGTTGGAGGCTTTACACTGGATAACTTGTGAATCTCCATCTGTAACATTCTTGAATACTAGACGGTCTTTCTGAATTGTTCTTCTGGGGTTTGGGGGTGCCTCTGTATATAGAAAATGGATTATTTTAAGCAATGATAAAACATTAATGTGCACCTATTTGAAATGCATTCATATTTTTGCCTATTTGAATCCGAAACCTCAATTACTATAAATTCAAAAATTATTGTGAGGTTTTATTATTGCGAATAATGCGAGTGAGTGAGTATTACAATAGTTAGAATTGGCATTCAGATATCTGATACATACATGTGTATGCAGATTTTCCTGAAATCGCAACAATTAATATCACATTTTTGTCTATTCTTTGAAAATCACAATAACAAATGCACACAATTATTTCTTAATTAACAGTACTTTAAGATTCGATTAAGAAATGTCTGAATTTAATCAAAATAATGAAAAATGTCAAAGAAGTCACATGAATTCTAAACTGTGAAAATTCATTACTCTAATGCACAATTTTGAATCCCTCATTATATATATGTACCTTTCATTTAAGGTACTGATCTTGCTAAAGTGTTTGGGAAGTTTAGTTCACTGCTAAAGATTTTCGATCATTTGTCAATTTCAAAGACTTCAATGAAAGACAATCTTCCTTGAACGTTTAATCATTTCCATTTATTCATGTCAGATTCTTCATTATTTGGAAAATTGTTCAAATAAGATATGATCAAACTGATTTAAGAAGGTCTGTTCATATGTCAATGATTGACCTTTAGTATTAAGATCATACCATTGATAGGTTGGCCATTGATGAACCAATTCACATCAGGAGCTGGAATACCTTCTACCATACAAAAAAATTCTGTATTCTCTTCTACCCCTATTGTTACATCTACTGGTTCCTTCACAAAATATGGTCTGGCTGTAAACATAAAAATGATTTAAGCAGTCCAACATTGACACATGCTCATAATTTCGCCGATCAAGGTTTTTGTAGGTTGCAATTAACAGCATATATGAATATTTAGTTTGGCCAGTAACAAAGGGTTTACTGAAAGTATACCCAAACTTATCATTAGATATCAAAGAAAAAATCCATGATTAATGTGTAGAATAAAATCTAAGTATTGTCAAACAGGGAGTGATCTGAAAGTACAAAATGTAGCTTATTATAACACTATAAAGTTGCACACCTAATATCAAATAATTCCTAAATATACAGAGACTAAATACGATGTAAAGAAAGTTGCAGAGAGAAAAACAACAGATGGATGGGCAGACACCAGGAATGCAGTAAACCATCTACTAGATCTGTATAATATCATCTTTAATCAAAGATTCTTCATAATATAGATTATACCTTCTACTTGTAGTGTGAAAGTGGCAACAACTGGTGTAGACGTCACATCATTGGTAGCACTACATTCATATTCCCCTTTATCTGCAAACTCAAGGTCTTCTATGATCAATTCTTGTCCATGTTCAGAGACCTTCATTCTGCTGTTCATTTTTCCTCCCTTTCTTTTCCATACTATATCTGGGGTTGCTCTAAAATAAACACCAACAATGTATAGTATGATAGACAAAAAGGTTTAAACCAATGGCTTGCTTTATAAACCATGCTAGCCATATTGAGCAATTTCAGTATTTTTTGCTCCGAAGTTCTCTTGATTATGAAGAAGCTTCTGTAAAATTCAATGAAGGTTTGGAAAGTTATTCAAGTTTTAATATCTTTAACCACAAATTGTGCCAGGTCAATGTATTTGTAAAATACGGAAAAATGGGATTTTTTTTTTCTCTTCCAGATGGTAGCTCTGCATTATGAAGATAAGTCCATTTATCAGTAAAATACAGAAAATGAAAACAAAATTAAAAAATATAGACAAAGTTATTGATTTGAAAATAAACTTTAACCAAAGACCAAACCTAAATAGTAGCAGGTGTTAAACTGTTGCCTACCACCTACCTCTGAGAGTAATTCATCATGTTTCAAAGCAATGTACAGATTTAAAGTCCGCATACTGTGCAGCAAATTCCATGCAGAAAAAGGTTTAAAAATAGTATGTAATCAGCACTACAATGAGTCAGTATGGTATTTGTATAGATGCACATTAAAATAATTCTTATATCATTTGCATATCTACAAATACTTGAATCAGATTGGTCCGTTAGAATTTTTTCCCTCTGTCTACACTTCAATAGACCATTTTGCTGAAACTATTTTTCGTAACCTATATTAACAAAAAAATATGAATATTTGGCCCAACTACCTATGAGACAACTCTCCATCAGAGAGCAAATGAAGTAGAAGTTAGCAACTATAGGTCACCGTACAGCTGGGTCCCTGACTCTCAAACTTTACATAAAAGTCAGAAGTTTGTGAGTAAATTACCCCAGCTTCCACATCAACACCCTCTTAAATTTTTTTTTTTAATCCTATAATGAAGCTTTTCAAAAGCAAGCAAAGAATATTTCAAGCTGTATTAAGCATCTCATATTTTACATTATCTTTCAGAAAAATAGTCACAATATGACATCAAATTTTAGCCCTTGTGTAAGCAGTATTAAGCCTTTTTGTATAAGACACCATTCATAATAGTTTTACTTACTTTCCAGCAAATATACACATGAATTTGGCTTTTCCGTCTTTCAATCCCAACACACTAGCATCTGATCGCCATAGTAACGTCACTCCATTTACTGATTCACCTATAAAATACAAAACTTCTTCAACATTTTCTCAAAACTTATCGACATGACAAATTCTGAAATATAACATGACCATAATCACTTTATATAAACCTCCTTCATTATTTATCGACACCCAATGATCAGTCAATGATTTATCACTATTTCTATCTTCGTCAAAAGACAAAACACATGCAAAGCATGCTGTCCTAGCATGTCCATACAATGTCAAATTAGCTGGAAGACACAAAACAATAAATAATGTTGACATGTTTTTTTATCAAATGATGAGCTTTTCTTCTATAGTTTCAGTAGTTCTTAACATGTTAAAGCCAACATGTCAGGCCAAAAACAAAATAGATTCATAGGTTCCTGTAAGTATCCCCTTTAGACACTGCCCTACTAGAGCAAAACAAAATGTTATTGGTCTAGGTTTTTATTTCATCATTCAATGCATTTTGGTGAAGTAATTATTCAAAGATAACCTATAATTTGGTGTAACATATAGCAGGTCCATTTTCCACTTCAATTATGGCAATGGTTGTATTTCACTTGTACAAATTGAGACTGTAAAAATACTTTATCACCAATCATAATAATCCAGGTGTTTTCTTGTTTTAATATGTGTTCATCTTTTTTTCTTGACTTTGTTTTTATATCAAAATATTGGGTAATTATTTTTATAATTTATCTTTATTTTTGAGTGTGTATTATACTTTGCTTCTTTAACCTTTTAACTTTGGTTTTCAAACCTTTTAACTTTGCAAGCCATACATTTTTAATTCATGTATGGACCAGAAAACCTTAATTGGAACAGGCAAACAAATGTGTTATAGTGTAATAATTAGTTTTCCAGGTTCAAAAATTCCCCTTTTTTGAGTTTGTGTGTGTGTTTGTTGTAGGGGAGGGGGCATTCAGATATCCTTAGCTGGACTAAACTTCTCCATTTAAATGTTTGAATGTCCAAAAACTGTTTTTGGAAAACACAACACATAAGAAGAGATGCTACCATTTGATAAAAAACATACTAAAATGGAAAATGATAAACTGATTATGACATGAAAGTTAAACAATGAGCAGACATGTCTGAATGAAAAAATTTAACAGATAAGGGGAATCACATGTAATATAAGTTAGGGTTAACATGTTGAGTTTGACAAATAAAAAAAAAATTTCAATTGCCTTTATGGCACCTTACAGAACTTCAACTCTTAAATACAGAATCAGAAGAAAATAGAATATTGACAAGTATATTTTCAATAATATTTTAGTTTCAGAACAAGAATGTGTCCATAGTACACGGATGCCCCACTCGCACTATCATTTTTTATATTCAGTGGACCGTGAAATTGGGGTCAAAACTCTAATTTAGCATTAAATTAGAAAGATCATATCATAGGGAACATGTGAACTAAGTTTCAAGTTGATTGGACTTCAACTTCATCAAAAACTACCTTGACCAAAAACTTTAACCTGAAGCGGGACAGACGGACCAATGGACGAACGGACGGACGAACGAATGAATTGACACACAGACCGAAAAAGATAATGCCCATAAATGGGGCATAATAAAAAGCAGCGATGATATAAATTATTATTCAGGAAGAATTTTAGTTCATGAATAACTGCTACAATGTGAAATATAAACAGGAGAGGTTCTAACACTGAAGTAGATCAAGAGGGCCAGGTTCAATCCGTAAATAAACATAGTTATGAAATATATGAAAATATGCATACAAAAGTATAAGCATTTATAAATAAGCATTATATAAACCTGTTTGCTATGTAATGATTTGTAACGGTATCATAGTAACAAAGAAAGAACCTTATGAAAGAATATATCATGAAAGTTAATAGTTTTAAATGAAATTGGTACATTAAAGTTGGCACCTGGTCATTTGAGAAAAAAAAAAACCATCTCAATGTTTGAAGGCAATCCCTTTCAAAGCAAAACATTAGTAAACCAAACAGGATGGATGATAAAGCAATGTGCATATAAAATTCTTAACCATATTTATAAGGTAATATAGTGTGCATTTAATTAAGCAAGGTAACATTATAGTATCAGTTCATATGTGTATCTTAGAACTAGACGATACTTCCAAAATTAGCATTCATCAGTTTAATAAGGCCCCTTTGTCCAGCTCAAATTAGGATTCAATGGCCATTATTACAATGTACTGTGGATTCATTTATTTTTCGTGGGAACCAATTTTTGTGTATTGAGTCAAACGTGCATTTTCATGGATATTTGATTTCGTGGGTTCGTCATATTCTGAATATAAGCCTATAGAAAATTTTAATTCTTTGAACACTTAAATTCTTGGTTCCCCTGTACCCAGGAAATCCACGAAAATTGGTTTCCCACGAATAATAATGAATCCACAGTATCATTGCAACAATTAATACGCAAATAATAGGTCTTTGTTTGAAATTTACATATCAGTGTTCTTTTTTTATGATGTCACAATAAGGATAACTTTCAATTTTCCTAAAAAAATCATTGGTTTTTAGAATCTGAAACATAGTGCATGCATCGACAATAAAGGTCTTTTAACTTTATGTTTGTTGTATAAACAGACTTGAATATTTCATTTGTCTAACCATGTGCATTATGTTTCATAAACCTAAATGTGGTTAAAATCCAGTTTGCAACCTTTCAAAGAAATCTATATATGACCTATTTGGCATGTAATATATAATATGTTAAAGTTTTACAAGAGAAGCTTGACAAAATCATTCAATTTCACTTATCAAATGTATATACATCATCCTGAAACATTTTTCATCTTCAAATATTGGACTTAATATTGGAGGCCAAACAAGGCCCATACTGCACTAATTCTTGGTAATCCTAAACTAAATCATGTTACACATAAACTAATATTCTTAAATCTGAAAGCTAAATGTTAAAGCATGTTTTAAAATATTAATAAACAATACATGCTAAGTACAATGGAAAACATTTTCAAACTCCACCTTGAGCTTGCATGTTAGAACTGGTAGTTAGCGTCCTATACAGTTAATGCTACATTTCAGGTTAATCAACTAGCTTAAAATCAATACCATATGCAACTTTAGTATTCCCAAAACATAAAAAATCTGAAGTCTAAATCAATGTAATTTCTATGCAATCAAATCATCTTAAAATAGGTTCAAAATTGTGTTTTAACGGATGAATAACAAATGTTTTAAGATAGTTTATGGTAGGGAATACTGGAAATACTAAAGCTGCATCATCTCAAGGGTTAACACATATGTCCATGTATTTTCATCAGATTTATTTTAGTATAAGATTTAGGGTAACCATATTTTCAAAATAATAAAGAAAAAAGTAAGAAAACAAAAAGCAGAATAAATTCATTTTATCTTTTAGACTCGTATAAAATCTTCAACTAAAAATCTTTTCAAAAAAATTTAAAATCAGTTTTATAATATTTACAATTTCATAACTAGAGGCTCTCAAGAGCCTGTGTCGCTCACCTGACTCTACTTTGGTTTTAGAAATCATGTAAAGATAGATAAAAATCATAACAGATACCCAAATAATGATTGAGGCCAAATTTGGATTAATATTGGTCCCGTTATTTAATAAAATATCCTGGTGGCCATCTTGAACAGTAAATCGGCAACAAAGTAGCAACACTTGGTCAGCACCTCATAAGGAACATTCATGCCATGTTTGGTTTCATTCCATTCAGTGGTACTCTAAAAGAAGACATTTGTATGTATTTCCCATAAAGTCCTATGTTAAACTAAGCCCCCTGCTGTCGGCCATCTTTGATGATGGACCGACTGCAAAGAAACAACACTTGGTCAACACCTCATATGGAACAATCATGCCATGTTTGATTCCATTCCATTCAGTGGTTCTCTAAAAGAAGACATTTTTATGTATTTCTCATAGTGTCCTATGTTAAACTAAGTCCCCCGCTGGCGGCCATCTTGGATGATGGATCGGCTACAAAGTAACAACACTTGGTCAGCACCTCATAAGGAACATTCATGCTATGTTTGGTTTCATTCCATTCAGTGGTTCTCTAAAAGAAGACATTTGTATGTATTTCCCATAGGGTCCTATGTTAAACTAAGTCCCCCGCTGGCGGCCATCTTGGATGATGGACCGACTGCAAAGTAACAACACTTGGTCAGCATCTCATAAGGAACATTCATACCATGTTTGGTTCCATTCCATTTATTGGTTCTCTAAAAGAAGACATTTTTATGTATTTCCCATAGGGTCCTATGTTAAACTAAGTTCCCCGCTGGCGGCCATCTTGGATGATGGATCGACTACAAAGTAACAACACATGGTCAGCACCTCATAAGGAACATTCATGCCATGTTTGGTTTCATTCCATTCAGTGGTTCTCTAAAAGAAGACATTTTTATGTATTTCCCATAGGGTCCTATGTTAAACTAAGTTCCCCGCTGGCGGCCATCTTGGATGATGGATCGACTACAAAGTAACAACACATGGTCAGCACCTCATAAGGAACATTCATGCCATGTTTGGTTTCATTCCATTCAGTGGTTCTCTAAAAGAAGTCATTTGTATGCATTTCCCGTAGGGTCCTATGTTAAACTAAGTCCCCCTCTGGCGACCATCTTGGATGATGGATCAGCTACAAAGTAGCTGCACTTGGTCAGTACCTCATAAGGAACATTCATGCCATGTTTGGTTTCATTCCATTCAGTGGTTCTCTAGAAGAAGTTCAAAATGTAAAAAGTTAACGACGACGGACGCCAAGTGATGAGAAAAGCTCACTTGGCCCTTCGGGCCAGGTGAGCTAAAAAGGAACATCATATGAACAATTAGAATTTTGAAGATAAAGAATAAAAGATTGTTCATTATATATGGTTTGCATATCCAACTGGAAAAAGATCAAGATAGAGAAAACAAAAAAGAAATGTTTTTGACAAATACATGGACATTACTGGTTGTTAGAGAGAACCAAAGTGATACATCATACCTGCTGGTCCTGTCAAAACAATAAATATACCAGTCAATATATAAACAAATACTTTGTAAAGATTCCCCATTTCAAAATCTAATGCATTCTAGGTAATATTTTCAAAATCTTACACCAAAACATTGTGATTGGTTAGCTACATCCTAAACAATATATATTCAACCAATGGTGTAGCATTATTTTGGTTTTGGTTTACAAACAATGAAATTACCCATGATCCTTTCGATTCTGAAACAACAAATTCCTTATTCATAAGGTCTTCAATTGTTTGAATGTACTTTGCTCTTATAAAAAAAACATGGCCCTTCTAAAATATTCAGTACAAGAGATAGCTTACATTTTTCCTTTATTATGAATGAAAATTTTTTGTTAAAATGCATCACATTAAAAAAAAAAGACTTTAAGAAAGGACTGATAGTGAAAATATGTAATTTAACCGACTGTTTACCATGATGAAATAAATGTCAAGCCTCTGAACAGTTAAAAAAAATATTTCACAATATTATATTAAAATGTCTACAAAAAGAAATGTTTGGATACATCAAAACTAAAAATGTCATTATATTATGAAGTATGTTTGAGCATAAAACATGTGTCCCCCGTTTTTCCTTCTAAGTTACAAGGGACAGTACATATTAAACAAATTATCTGGTCTGCATATTTGGTTACTATGAAAATAAAGGCAGATTTTGTGTTTATAATCTTTATTGTAAAAAAAAAAGACAGATGATAGAAAAACCAACAGGACCATATATTGGGGGAAAATAACTAACGTAAGCATAAACCTTATAATTTCTGAAGTACTGAACATTAGAGAAAAAGAAACAAACACAAAAAAAAACCTTGCAAATGCTCTGATAAAAGGGAGACAATAAGAAAGCATTGTGCAATTGAAAACTGATTTTGGTGTAAAGTGCATTTCTATCTTTTTGCTTATATTTTGAAAAAGGAAAACTTCCTGCATTACAAAACTCTCAATAATTCAAATTTTGGTTTTCTGCTAATTCAATCAAAATTTGGTTATAATAGCAAAGGAAAATATATATATATATTTTTTTTTTAATCTAAAACAGAATATAGATAATCTTAATAAGATCCTTAAAAGGCTTTTGATCAAAATAAAACAGAATATAGATAATCTTAATAAGATCCTTAAAAGGCTTTTGATCAAAATAAAACAGAATATAGATAATCTTAATAAGATCCTTAAAAGGCTTTTGATCTAAAACAGAATATAGATAATCTTAATAAGATCCTTAAAAGGCTTTTGATCTAAAACAGAATATAGATAATCTTAATAAGATCCTTAAAAGGCTTTTGATCTAAAACAGAATATAGATAATCTTAATAAGATCCTTAAAAGGCTTTTGATCTAAAACAGAATATAGATAATCTTAATAAGATCCTTAAAAGGCTTTTGATCTAAAACAGAATATAGATAATCTTAATAAGATCCTTAAAAGGCTTTTGATCTAAAACAGAATATAGATAATCTTAATAAGATCCTTAAAAGGCTTTTGATCAAAATAAAACAGAATATAGATAATCTTAATAAGATCCTTAAAAGGCTTTTGATCAAAATAAAACAGAATATAGATAATCTTAATAAGATCCTTAAAAGGCTTTTGATCTAAAACAGAATATAGATAATCTTAATAAGATCCTTAAAAGGCTTTTGATCAAAATAAAACAGAATATAGATAATCTTAATAAGATCCTTAAAAGGCTTTTGATCAAAATAAAACAGAATATAGATAATCTTAATAAGATCCTTAAAAGGCTTTTGATCTAAAACAGAATATAGATAATCTTAATAAGATCCTTAAAAGGCTTTTGATCAAAATTAAACAGAATAAACACTTTAAACCATAAATTTTGCTTATCATGAATTTTCTATGAGACACCAGCTTTGATTCTGGAGGTTTAAAGTTACTCTGTCTATAATACAACATTATCTGGAAATCCAAAAGAGGGACAAGTTAGCAACTTAACTCCCCCCCCCCCCCCCCAAAAAAAAAAGAAAAGAAATTCCCCTTCCCTCAAAAACAACAATAAAATGAAAATTAACAAAAGTTAATTAGAAGTGTCAATAGCACAATTATACCTTTATTACATAAAAAGCTTTATTTTTTATTTACGAACAACTTAATAAATAACTTCTATATTCAAAATAACAATTTGTACTATAAAATTACATGTTCACTAATACATGCACAAAATGATCTTTCAAATTATAAATATTAGGAAAAGCAAATCAAAAACAAGAAAGGCTTTCAAAAACATAAAATAAGAAGCCCTAATAGTTGGATCCATCTAAGTACTAGAAGTTAAATAAATGTATGTGACCACTCACTTAATATTACGTTGACAATTTTATCTTCTCCTTCACTAGACGTACGATAAACACCATTGTGCATGTTACAAACAAACTTTCCTTCTCCTATCACATCACTTTTCTTTACATTGGCAAAATGAAGAGTTCCTGTAAAATAAGCATTTAATAATTGAAAAGTGCAGCTGTTCTATGTCATATTACAATTCAAGCTCTGAAACATGCTCACAAAAACAGACGGTCAACATTATAACCTCAAGATCATTTAGCATACATATGAAGATTAAAACTGTCACAAATTGTAATTACGGTATGCAGTGCTGTTACAACACTGTCCCAGTTTAGGCATGGGTCTAGTGTTTGTCAAACATGTTTTACCCTGCCACATTCTGTCCCAAGTCAGGAGGATGTAATTATGTTGTGTAAATATGTTGTCATTGGCTGCGGTCTATCATATATGTTTTTTGTTTATTGTTTTTTACATAAATCAGGCTGTTGGTTTTCCTGTTGGAATAGTTCTATTTTTTTCATATCGAGGCCTTTTATAACATTACTATAAGTTTACGGAATGAGTTCTGCTCACTACTGAAGGCCATACAGTGACCTATAACTTCTATGTCATTTGGTCTCTGGTGGAGAGTTGTCTCAATGGCAATCATACCACATCTTATTTTTATATAAAGTTGCTTATATCTAAGTCTTTTGGTCTTTGGTGAGTCATTGTCTCATTTGTATTCTACTATTAACCCATTAATAATGGTAACATCAAATTTGTGAAGATTTTTAAATTTTCTAAAAAAAATTTGATGATAGGCTTGCCAATAATTTCTTTAATTTGGAAAATTTCCTACATTGTATATATATAAATAATGTTAAAGTTAATAAATTTCTTAATGCATGTAAGTACAACTATTTTTATTTGTATAAATATTAAAAGTTATTCTAAAATTTACCTCTTATTTACTTATTACATTTACTTCTATTGATTATTGTTTTGTCATTTTTCATATCTGTTATAAGCTTTCCATCTTCTTTCTGAAGTCCCTTTGGTATTATAAAATGTTTCTGTATTTTTCTTACCTTCATAATCTATTGCAACTCTTTTATCTTTTTCAATTATAGGAGGCTGGGCTGTTGAATATTCCTCAACAAAGGTCCAATACACATTAGGTTTGGGGACTACATGAGGCTGTTTACACTTTAATGACAACGGCATGCCTTCATTGACATCACGTCTTTCTGGTGTAATCACTGATTTGAACACATCGTTAATCGTCATTACAACATTAGCTTTCTTACTGAGTGCTGTCCCCTTTGTGTTGGTTGCAAAGCACTGATAAATTCCATTGTCTGCCATAGAAGCATTGGTTATCTTTAGACTTCCTTTTCCATTTTCAACACTTACTCTCGGTGAATTTGTATCAAAGTCTACATTATCTTTGGTCCATTTATATCTGCAAACAAAAGAACATCTTTTTAGATTTCAGTCATTAACCAAAGCCTAAAAGATTTATTGTTGAACAATTAATTACAAAGTTACAGCAAGGTTATACATGAATACAATAAAGGGGAATTACTTACTTCAGACTTGACCCCCTTCTGACAATGAAATATCTAAGAAGGGATATCGGTATGTACTAAAGGCTACCACATAGACATATTGAACAAGCATATTTTTACAAGAAATTCTAAGATAAACTGATTGATCAATGTGTAAATGTAATTGATAGCAAACTTATTCATTTCAAACCAACCATGATGTTTGACAGTATCACTTTCATGTTAGAATAAATTCCTAGGAGCCTATATCCCATACCTTGATAATATATAATATTAAGAGTATGCTTAAGAAGAAATAAACCTTGACAAAAAGATTTTAAGCTTACAAATAGCAATGGAAGTCACAATTTTGTACGACATTGCAGAAAGGCCAACCAAATTTATACATTTGTGGTATCACTTATTCATAGTGAAGTAAAAAGATATCAGGATACAACAAAAAAAGAATAAATATTAGTTCCATATGTAAGGGATGGCTGACCAAGAATAAGAAAGCTGAGTCATTTTCAAGAAATGGTTTGTCTGTAATTTAATTATGTAAAAAGTAGATAAACTGGAACCAAAAAATCATTGTGTTCTGTAATTGTTTAACATTGCTAAGAAATAACTGTACTGTGCTGGAACCAACGCCAGTGTCAGTTGTGGATTTGACAAGTAAATGAAGTCACAGTATTCAAAACAGATATTTGGGACAGTAATATCACAATTAACACCAGCAGCAGTTCCAACAGTGATACCTACGTTACTTCAGGTCGTCCACTGGCATTACATCTAATTTTTATTTTCTCCTCTACTTTAAAGTAGATAGTGACTGTATCTCCAATATCACAGGCAGACTGGGAACAATAGGCAGGCTTTGGTTCTAAAGTTATACTAGGTGGCAGACCATCTGAAACATGTATATAAAAAATATAGTGCAAGAAATAAAAAAAATGTTCTAATAAACAAAAAACATGTATGATGTTTGTAATGTTTATGTTTGGTGTTGTTTTTCTGATGTTGGCATGGTATTGTTTAGTGTTATCATGATATTGTCTGGTGTTAATTTGCTGCTATTGTCATGTAATGTGTGGAGTTGTTTCACTTGTGTTGCCATAAAATTGACTGGTGTTGACTTGTTCCCTTGTGTTGTCACAGTACTGTCTGTTTCACATCTGTTGTGATAGTCTTTTAAAGTCTTGTTTGGCTTGTGTTGTCATACTTTTCATTTATTTTCAATGTAATTTATCTTAAAAATTACTGTATAATTTAGTAATACTATATATATATATGTATATGATCAGAAACAGGCCCTTTAAATGGATTCAATAAAAATATTCTTATTCTTATTGTTACTATTGTCTGGTGTTGTTTCCTTTGTGTCGCCATCATTGTTTTTGGCTTGTGTTGTCGCAGTACAATTTGGTGTTGTTTACTTTGCCTGCGCTGTCATGGTTTAGTTTGTTATTGTTTTAAGTATAATGTCATGGTATTGTTTGGTGTTGTTTTGTCTATGTCTGTGGTTTTTGTCATCTGCAGTGCTCATATTGTAGAGAAGAGTACTTTTTCTGAGATGTATTCTATTGTGTACCTTTTGTTATTCCTATCAACAAGTTGGGAAAGGGTATAGAAGTTTAGGGTTCTAATTTGGCTCTTGAAGGGATGTGTCACTGATGTATACCTCAAATCTACTTTAATTCATACATACAACAGCATTTTGATAAAACCATACATAAGTTAGTTCTCTATGTGACCAGTGCACCTCTTAATATTTTTTGACAATTTTTTTTGGAGGGAGAATTGAAGGAGTTTATCTCACATCTCTATTGATTCATATGTAACAGTAGTTTGGATAAAATGACACACAAATCTTCTATGTGACTAGTGCATTCACAAATTATATACCATCAGTACTAAATTTGACAAACTTAATAAAAGTTGGAAAATATTTCTTGCCTTAGATATATCAGCTCTACCAGTCTGTGGTGATCAATTAGGTCTTGCAGTACAGAGATTTGACACCTTTCAAAAACTTACTTTGAGGATATAATTCACATAACATTTTACTTTTATGTATAAGAACACAATATTCTCTGACTGTTAATGACGTCTTTACACTAAATCCATTGGATGTTGGATGTTACTGATTGACCTTTTATTCTTAGACACATATTTTTTTATTAGTTGTTATTGGCTTTGAACTAGCTTTCAGTAACTGAAAGTACTCTCAGATCTGTACTCTGTGTCTTTTGTGATTTTGTTAGGGTGTTTATGTTCTTTATATGATCTAATGAGTTAAGCCCTTTCAACTGATTTTTATAGTTTGTTCTTATGTCATACTGTTACACCACCAGGTAAGGTGGAGGGTTAGGGGCTAGTAATGTTTTTCAATGCCACATTCTGTATGAGCCTGTCCAAAGTCAAGAGTCTGTAATTGAGTGGTTGTAATTTGTTTCTGTATATCATATTTGTTTTTTTGTTAATTGTTTTGAACATAAATCAGGCCATTGGTTTTCTCATTTTAATTGTTTTTAAATTGTCATTTCGGGCTTTTTTATCCAAAAAAATGCTCCAGTCTTTTAGATTGTATTCTAGATGTTGTGAATTAGAACTCTCGTGAATTAAACTTCCGTGTGACAGTTAAGTACTATGCTTATTTGGAAGATTGTGGATGAAATAGGAAATACATGTTTACAAGATCAATCAAATATGATGTGGGGTACCTTATATGTCAATAAGACAGCAACTGACAACACATGCAGGCAAAAAACATCAAGGTGGTCAACATACAGTCTCCAATAAAAGGCAAGTATTTCTAATTCCAATTAACTGTTTCTGTTTGATTTACTTACACTTTCTATTTAAAATTGAGAGGCAAACACCAGTCCATAACAACGACAAGATAGCTAAACTACTTAGGAATGTCATGGTTACACTGCAAACTCTGCAAAATAAAGAGTTGCATGTTCATATCATTTGTATTTACATGCCATCTGCACATATGGTAATTCAGTTACATGAAGACAAATGATAGTTCTGATGACTATTACAGATTCATTGCTGATGTGATTTAGTGATAACTGTTTTGCTAAAAGCATAAAGATAGCATGTTGGGGTACAACTTTTATTGTTTCCATGTTTTGTAAGTTCAAAAGACTAAATGTTGTTACGTAACTGCACAAAAACACTACATGTTCTCAAGTAGTAATTACTGTCAGTTTCTCACTAGATGATTTCAATTGTTATTGCTTTCCTTTAACTGATGATCACTGTGATTTACAATGCTTATATAATACCATCCTCCCTCACTTTCTGCTATACAAACTCAAGGTGTATTTAAAAGTTAAAGAGATACATTTTATCTGTAAATTTCAAGGTTTTTTGGGGTCTCGATGAAGGTTACTCAAGAAATGCTGAAATATGTTTTGTTTGTTTTTCTTTTAGACTTTATCGATTACTTTTACATCCAAGTATTTATCTCAGATACCTAATACAACCTAAAATTCCACTTTGATATATATCTCACACTTCATGTTAACCAAGATGGGCTGGGGGTTAATTTGTAATCAACAATTATACCCTTGTTTTGGGGTTTTCTTTATTCTGACTTTGGTTTTTTGTGTGTGTGTGTGTGTGTGGGGGGGGGGGGGGGGGGGGTCTGGGGGTCTGGGTTGATGTCTCATTGAAGAACACCCTACCATTTTTTTCATTGTAATTCAAATTTGATAACTTACATGGAAGTTTATATCTGTTTCTATGTCATACTTCAGCAATTAACAAAGGGGAAGTAACTTACATGGAAGTTGATATCTGTTTCTATGTCATACTTCAGCAATTAACAAAGGGGAAGTAACTTACATGGAAGTTGATATCTGTTTCTATGTCATACTTCAGCAATTAACAAAGGGGAAGTAACTTACATGGAAGTTGATATCTGTTTCTATGTCATACTTCAGTAATTAACAAAGGGGAAGGCTACAACAATATCGTCTTCCAATATAATCCTTACTACATGTCTGTGTTCCTGCAAAATATAATTATCAAAATTCAAATTTTGGTCTTGCATGAAATTCTTTCGCTTATCGAAACATGCACAAGAGTAGTTATTATGATTATAAACAGATTTAAGAATATTTTTAATACCTGTAAAGTAATTACAATGATTTATTTATAAACTAAAATACCAAATAAAGCTGGTTTTATTGCTATGAACAAACTAATTGAAGAAATCTGAAACTAAGATTCTGTGTTGAAGGTCTAATCCCAGGACTCCCATATTTAGCAATGAAAACAGTTCCTTTGCTATTGGTTTTGTCATGCATAAGCAAGGATTTTGTGTTATGAATTAATACAAAATCCATTCTAATCCATTATATCAGCAAATCAAATTGTTTCCATTTTCTGAAATAATGATAAAAATCATATAACTGTTTACCAATTTTCATGGGATATTATAGTCAGACCATGTTTAATAACTATCAAAAGAATTGTTATGTATTGAAATCAATTGCTCAGGTGAAACAGTAAATGTGACTTTGCCAATGTGTTACCAGAGTTCCATCTGAGCAATCTTACAATCTATTATTGTATCATAGTTTATCAACTTTAAACAGTTCGTGAATTTTTTGTTATAAAAATAGAATATGATCACTTAAAGAAATTCTGTTAACACATGAACTGTTTCAATTATGTTCTCACTAGTACTTTTAAGAGAAATGTCAAAACAAAACTAATTGTTCAATGAAATTTCATACTGTTTTCAAATGCAGCTCAGGTTCAATCATTGAATAATTTGATACTGCTAGGTGGTTTTCAAAACAGAATAAAAGGTTTACTATAGTTCACTTCAATGAAAACATATTCCCCAAACATACTAATCTGAATGAAGCATAACCAACGAAGGTCAATTATCCCTTATTTTGCGTGTTGACAGTAAGTACATCATGTCTGGAACAGTGAATCAATCTATTAGTAAATATTCCTACATCAAATATGATCAATCAGTTTCTCTCTTCACTGTCATATTTGACCATAATCAAATTTATGACTTGTGTTCATGATATCCGGCATTTAGTCAGAATCATAATACTGTGTAGGTGTAGTAGTTTGACAGTACATGTATTTACTTTCTGTTCAAACTTAATAAATTGAAAAACATGTACTGTTCACATTACTGACTTAAGTGCTGCACATCAACTTTTCAAATTTTTTTAATTAATTGGAAACAAGCTCGGAACTTAATTCTTTATAGGTGATTTTTATAAAACAAGAATCTATTGAAGGCAGGGATTCCATTATGATGACTACAGGTGAAATATATTCTAAGAGACATCAGTTTTAAGCATTTCAATAGCTATACACTGTGGATACTCATGGGGTACCAATTTTCATGGATTTTGAGGGTCAAGGTTAGCCAGGAAGTTACAAATTTACTGGAGTCTTTGTTAAACCATGACATCAAGTATAAGTGTATCATCAACAAGACTACCACGTTTTCCTAAGTCCACAAACAATAACGGAATCTACAGTAATAGAACACTCTAATGTTTCTTCCATTCATTATTCATGAATCCATGCTATACTAGTAATAAATGTGTCAACTAATGCATAAAAACCGTGCTGGCTAATGTACTGAATACAATTGGTTTGAGATCTAGATATTTTGTTCTATGGTATTATCTTTTTTTACAAGCAGCAATATATTTTTGAACCCTGAGTATGAAATTAACCGTAAACCCATACATTAGATAAGATTCATTGATTTTTGTTTGCATTACAACCAGTGGCAAATGTTTCACATATGTTCAGGACAAGCATTTAGATAAGAACCATCCCAGATACTTTTTTCTTGAACACATTTTTCTCATTCAGCCCTTCTAATTGACTCTGTTTGCCAATTTCTAACTTTGTTAATGTATTTATGCATTTGAGAGAATGAGGATCCAATTTGAAATGTTTGTGACAATTCAAATTTGCCTTATTTTTCTAATTGAGAACGAGTATTTGTGGCAAGAATAAATCACTCAAAATATAAGTTGGCTTGGGTTAGATAACAACTGGACATTTTAATCTTGTCCACTCTCAGTAAACCTAGAAGACATTGTAGTAAAGATCTAATATTGGTAAAAACTTTTCTTTTATAAATCAGTCATATTTTGCCATTTTAAGAATATTTAATGACATTAACACAGCTTCCAGTAACTTAAAATAAGAACATTTGTTTAATGTATTAAAATACCATTAAACTTTTCTTGTCTACTTTCGATAACCTAGTAGACAATGATATATGTAAATAAAATCAAAATAATCTTCCTATTTAAGCAGAATTGGTTTTGTAATTGAGTTATATAGATAAATGACACCAACACAGCTTCAAGTCACTTAAAATAAGATATAATATACTATATATTACTGTTTTATCCATTTAAATGACAGAAAGTATGTATTATGTAATCAAAATACCTCAAGTCCATATCAAACTTTAATTCCAGATGCTGAGACAAAATATATACCTAGAGAAGACATTCAAACTAATTAATGGTTATAAATCCAGACTTTATTACAAATTAATTCAAGCACAGCAGATGTATAAAATATGAATGAAATTGAGTGTAACTGCTAAAGGCTAGAGTTTGTGTGTGGGAAATCATTCATGACAGTTATCAAGTATAAATCTCCATCTAAATACTTACTACTGACATTGAAATGATTAGTATTACAGATGAATGAAATATCTCCACTGATACACAGTCAGGCATTACCTCTTTGGTGTCCATATGATATTAAGTGATGAAGTTGTTGGACAATTACTTCAGAACAGAAAGAGATGTGAGATATATATGCCAACAAGACACAAACCCAAAGACAAAAACTACCAAAAGACATATAGGAGCAAATAAGATGCTCAATTCTTGCTCATGAATAGAAAGAAAAGTGAGGTATATGTCAACAAGACAGCAACCCAATGACACAAATAACCAAAAGTCCTTCTTTTTTTCATTGATATACAACATTTTATCAAATGAAAGATTTTTGGCTTGGTCTGTGACATTTCTATCCCAAAATACAGTATCTTTTTATACTATGATGGATGGCAGTGGCTTGATCTATAACATGACTTGATAAATCACTGTACATGTGATGTATGATTGTCTTTATATACTGGTATCTCAACAGAAAATATACATAGATACAGTACTTTCACATAAGGTTACATATAATGATTGGTGGCTTCATCTTCCACAGGACTTATATATATATATGATTAATTTCAACAGACAGTTACAAATTATTGGCATGATGGTCAAGCAAATAGAGGAACAAACATTTTTTAACAGCTTCAAACATTCCATTTACATGCACAACCCATAAAACCCAATTTGTCAATTGAACCATTTCTATTAAAATTCTTAAAGAAGCTATTATGTGTCCTTACGATCACCACTGAAATCAAAATTGCTATGTTGGAACAAAATATTCAACTTTGGAAATTCTTATTTCAACAACTGATAATATAGAAAACAAATATCTTCAGCAGTTACAATTACCAATACCATCACTACTTGAAAGGAAATAGGTTTAAATCCAAAAGGTCATTGCTTTGAAAACAAGATAAACAATTCATACTATAATCATTTTGAGAATTGCAATTTAATCTAATTTGGCCATGAAGAGAAGAAAACAAACAGCAGCCCATTCCCTCATGAGACCTGAGTTACTGAATCATTTATAAAGATCAGCGTTCAATGGTCTACATCATGCCTGACACAGAAGTAGAAATTTCAACCATTTTTCCCAACTATTGATCTCCTGTAAGAAGTAATGCCATGTAATGATCGTATAACTCATGATGCTATAAATCCTCTCAATAATATGTTTACCATACCGTCCATGACGAAGAAAGAACAAAAGAAATCTTATTGATGGCTACAGACATTCCTTTAAGTATAGTCTAGATAGCATTGATTCTCAACAAATTTGTAGTGGTTATCAAACATGGTAAAACAGCCTTATTAATCTGGAGAACAACTATAGTTTTTATCGTTATAATCAAAAGCATGCAAGTAAATATTTACTGAGCGTGATGCAATAACATTCTATATTATTGTTAATTGTACATTTGAAATCATTAGTTTTGATGACTGTTTTGCATGGTATTTTTTACACTGATATACAAACAATCAGCTTACTTGTGAATTAAATATTAGATTTATTACCACTGGGGAAATGCAATTACTGGTATCATTTGCCAGATAGTCGACTGCATGCAGCTTTTGTGATGACATAGTTAATCCAACATTTATCTAAATTTGGTAATTTTTCAGTTGTTTACTTTATATTGGTATAATTCTGAGCCAATGTTCCAAACTTTACAACTCTATCAAACTTAAGCTGACGTTTTGCTATTCTTTTGAACCCCTATTGAGTTTTGTATAGCACCCAATGCTTTTATCATTTTTGTTTAAGTTGACCAGGTAAAAAGCTTCCACCACAATAAATTCTATATGGTTGATTTTGCTATATAAAAATAAAGGCTGATATAGGCACATATATTTTCTTTCAAAATCATAGTATATTTGACTAATAAACAGCTGCGCCTTCAGCGCATGATACACCCTTCGCTTTTTCAAAGAATAAAGTTCTATTGCTCCTCAAAGTCATATCAGAAATTTATAAAAAACTAAAGGGAGGTTATTTTAATAGATATAAACCAGTCACCAAAGTTTCATGAAAACTGCTCAAAGATCTTATGAGTTATTGTCCGAAAACTGGAAAATCCCCCTTTCTTAATGAATACAACCCCATAACTCAGAAAACTGGAAAATCCCCCTTTCTTAATGAATAAAACCCCATAACTCAGAAACATAAAATCTAAAATTTATAAAAATCGAAAGGGAGCTCACATCAATAGATATAAACAATTCAACAAAGATTCATGAAAACCGCTCAAAGCATTTTTGAGTATTTGTCCGAAAAACTGGAAAATCCCCCTATTTTAATGAATAAAACCCCACAACTCGGAAA